CTTAGACACTTTCTAGCTGTGTTCTAGTTCAAATAAAGCTTCCATGCTAGCTGTGAGCGAGTCATGTAATCTGCCTCAGTTTCCTTATCTGTAAAATGGGAGTAATGATACTATCTACCTCTCAGGGTTGTAAGCATCAAATGAGATATTTGTAAAGCACTGTGCCTGAGACAGTAAGCATGATATAAATGTTAGCTATTGTCATTACTATTAGATTTATGTCCTCTGCAAAATAGATAAAAAAGCCATCTGTGCCTCAAAACACTGATGTTAAATCAAACGGGGCCAGTCATAGTCCCTGGGGTACCCAGAGACCTTGCAGGTTGATATGGAACTAATAACAACTGTTCTTTGGGTCTAAACTTTGTTGTTCAGTTGTGTCCAACCCTTTCCAACTACAGGGACCATAGATGTCCATGGGCTTTTCTTGGCAGAGATACTGGAGTGGTTAGCCATTTCCTTCTCCCATGGTCCTTTTGTTAGATGATCAGAAGTTAAGTGATTTATGCAGGGTTACACAGCCAGGAAGTGTCTGAGGCTGGATTTGAACCCAAGACTTCCTGACTGCAGGCCCAGTGTTCTGTATACTGAGTCACCAGCTGCCTCTAGGTCCTAAGCTTATTACCTCCTTATCTGGAACTACAGCTATTTTGATTGTAATGGTAACACGTTATGGAAATAGTTTCTGAACTTTGTGTGGTAATAGCATCCATTCAAAAATAATTATGCCCCCATACAATTTTCATAAAACATTCCATGAATATAATTTTCCTAGTTTGTATTTTATTCAGACTAAGCAATGAATTTATTACAATTTTTATAGCACAAAAATTATCCTTTCTTCTGGATACCAACACTAGCTTTTAGATAGTAAGGAACCAGATAAATATAAATAAGCTTAAGAATATTTTCCTTGAAAAAACATTTTGTGGTCCTATATTCTTTATATTTTAGGGGTACCTTATTTTATTTTTTTTTCTATTATTTCTCTTCCTCAAAAGTTTGGAAAAAGGTTTAATGTACTCCTTATCCTTTAGCCAAGAAACTTGGATTGCTGGGCAATGTTACTCAATGTAGTTCTGCCTTACCATTTGAAGTTGCATAGAATTCAGCAGATAAAAGGTATACTGGAACTCAGGTCTCCTGGCTTCCATTATATATGTGTTTGTGTTGGGGTGTGTGTGTGTATATGTAATTCATGTAATTAGGAATGGGGAGGGAACCTATAATTTCAAATACAGAGAGTTCCTGATGAGGAGCTTCCTCTACTCATGCAGGTGAGCACCTTCTCTATAACTTACAGTATTAGAGAATTGCCTAGAGCACTGAGAAGTGACTTACCCAGGGTCATACAGCCAGTGTGTCAGAGATTCTACTTGAATCCAGCCAGTTCTTTATACATTACACCAGGGTTTCCCAACCTTTCTCCATCCCTATGCCCCTTGGCTTTCAGTAGTCTTTGAAATGCTTTTCAACGTGAGAATAAATAAATTCTTGAGTTCACCATGCCTATGCACATAAGCAACAGAATAGATTTATTTCAATAGGATAATACTATTTATCAAATATTCCCTGGGCTCCTATGATACGCTTATATCCCAGCTTGGGAACATCAGTGTTATGGCATACTACCACTCTATTCATAGTACCTTATATGATGTTTTGTAGTATATTTTGTATGAATCCTTGTTAAATAGCACTTATTTATGGCATAGTAGAACAGCCATCCAATTTTTTTTTTAGCTCTACAACTTCTGAACTTTTTCCGTGATTGCACAATGCAACATTGGTGCATGCAAATGAAAACAGCTCTGCAGTTTTACGTCATGTGATGCAAAGAGGATAAAAAGGGGAAGTCACGAGCTTTGGAGGGATTATGAAAAGACAGGCACACTAATAAAGGCACTGTTTGGAGCTGTGAATTGGTCTGGAAGACATATTGGAATTATGTGAGAAAAGTGACTAAACAGTTCGTCTTTCTTTGACTCAGCAATCCTACTAATGGGCATATATCCCCAGAGCTAAGGCCCCAGAAGGAAGAGCCCAAATCAAACTATTCACAGTAACCATTCTGGTAGCAAGGAATGGGAAACAAAGTGGGTACCCATCAACTGAGGAAGAGCCAGAAAAACTGGTATGTGAAAGTAATGGAATGTTATTGTGCAGTAATATGAGAAGTTCAGAGAAACATGGGGAGATTTTGTGAACTGATGCAGAGTAAAATAAGCAGAATCAGGAAAACATACATGACTACACCAATGTAAATGAAAGCTGAGTAACTGAACAGGTTACAAATAATATACTCTCCCTTCCTCTTGATAAAGAAGCAAGGGACTAAGAAACACAATATGTGTGTTGTCAGATTCAGTCACTGTGTCAGTAATTTGCTTAATTCTTTCTTTGTTCCAAGAGATCAGTATGGAGTGGGGAGTGGGAGGTGTTGTGGGAAGGTATACCCAGAAATTACTTCTGTAAAAACAAGACAGCAATAAAACTTTTTCCCCCCAAAAAACAAAGACCCAATACAATGTGCAAGGCAGATTTGGTATTGGCAATGAGGAATTGGCATTAGTATTCTGCCTTAGGTCTCTTAATATAATGTAGTTTCATAACACTGCAGTTCTTTATCTTCGTGGGAATTCAGATAGTGACAGTTTTAAATCGAGATTACTCCTTTTTTAATAAACAGGTTTTCTCTGCTCTTTTGTCTTTCACATGCTTATTCAGCATGAAGTTTTTACTATATGTGAGGTTGGCAGTAAGACTTATTGCTTTGCAAATCCTGAGAAGCCACAGGGTTATTTGTTAAAAGCATACTTCAGGTATTAGGACATCTTGATGAAGTTGCTGAGAACTATACAACAATTGTCTTTAGAACCCTAATTGGGAAGGAATATATGTACATGTCACATGTTGTTCAAAAAATAATTTCTCAATTAATGCTTCTTTGTAAGATTTACCCAAAAGAATAAAATTTTTCTCTATCTTCCCCACAAAAAAAAAGGATACTTCATAGATGTTCTGGTTTTCGACTGAGTTTCTAACAGATGACAGTATTGTGAGAGCCATCTGGTGGACCCTACCCACAACAGCTGCCAGCCCCTCTTGCTTACTGTTAAATCAACAGTGAGCGATTTTTTTGGTATCCCAGCCATGCAGTCTCCTTGCACTTAAGTGGGCTTCTGTCTTGAAAAGTATTCTACAAACAGTTGTGAATTAGGGGCAACTGGAACATACAGATAATAAATGTATCTTATTCTTGTAAAGAATTAGAGACTATGTCTACCATTTGTTGTTGCATAATTAAAAATACAAATGTCAGTATTTCAGTGGTATCCATTTCAAGGAGATACAATCAAATTACTCATATATTTGTTCCAAATATTATCTTTAATATTGTAATGATAAAAAACAAGGAAAGTTTTCACATATATAGATAAGGCCTGAAAGTATGGATGTATCAGTTTGTGTTGTGAAGGCATAGTTGTTGCTGGCAAAAGGGGTGGGTAGCACTGGAGATTTAGGTTCTATAGACCATAGGTTCAGTCCTATCTAGCATCATTATAGCATCATAGTATCAGATGATTTTAGAATGATTTGTAATCATGGTATGAGATTGGCACTGGAAAAGAGTTGAGAAAAATATATGTCCGTCCTTTGCAGAGGTGGGAACTCGAGTGTAGTCTTGTAAATATTGGCAGATGTAGTTACCAGGTTGCCTGGTTTTCCTGAACTGTTTTTTTTCCTCCTTTTATTTTTTATTCTTTGATATAAGGGTTTGACTCATTGAGAGTAGGTGGGATATACTGAGGTAGTTAAAGCCAAAAGATATTTTAAAATATAGAACTTTATTGTTGGAAGAAAAATTTAAGATAATCTCATAAAATAGTAGGCTAGTAATAATAGTTCATATTTATCTATTAGTTTACAAATTCATTTTTTCAAATAACCCCATGAGGCAGGTAGTACAAATTATAGATGTGGAAATTGAGACCCAGATTGATTGCCCAAGGTCACATCCCTAGTAAGTATTGCAGCTGGGACCTACACCCAGGTGCTCTCACCCAAAGTCTAAGTCTTTGTTCTGGACACTATGAATAAAATTTTATTAGCTTTTCGGGACTGCCAAGTTATACTGTTGACTTGTATTGAATTTCCAAGTCCTAAGTCCTCTGCAGATGAACTGTATTTTGTCCTATTCCATTTGGCCCATCATTTTATTAAAATTTTATCTTTTTTTTATACCTATATATCTCAAATATCCCTCCCTGAGACCCATTCCCTATAACCAAAATTTTTTAAAAGAGGAAAAATTTCAACAAAAGCATTATTTTTTAAAACTTTGGCACTATAAGTAGTGTTCTACACTGGGTTTGGGAGTCTGATGGTGCTTTTTATATCCTTTCTTTGGGGCCAGACTTGGTCATTATAATCTCACAGTGTTCAATTTTTATTTTGTTGTCTTTCCATTTTCTTTGTTGTAGTAATTAAGTCTATCACTTTCCTAGTTGTTTCACTCTGCATCATTTCAAATGTCTTCCCATGCTTCTCCATAATCCTCATATTAATTTCTCATAGCATAGTTATAGTCTATTATATTCATGTCAAGTTAACAAGCATTTATTTATTAAGCACCTACCATGGGCCAGGCACTATACTAAGTTCTGGAGATACAAAGAAAAAAAAGCAAAAAACAGCCACTGCTCTCAAGGAGCTCACAGTCTAATGGGGAAGACAGTGTGCAAATAATTACATACAAGCAAGATATATACAAGATACAATGGAGATAATCACAGAGGGAAGATACTAAGAATATAGAGGACTAGCAAAGACTTCTTGCAGAAGATGGGATTTAAACAGAGACTTGAAAAAAGCTAGGGAAACCAGGAGGTGGACACGAAGATGGGGGGAATAGCCAGTGAAAAAGCATAGGCAGGAGATGGAGTATCACAAAGAACAGCAAGGAAGCCAGTGTCACTTGGTGGATTGAAGGTGTAAGAAAACTGAAAAGGGAGAAGGGACAGTTATGAAGGGCTTTGATGCCAAAGGATTTTATATTTGATATTGGAAGTAACAGGGAATTACTGGGTTTTATTGAAGGGGTGTTTGTGTGATATAGTCAGGTCTATGCTTTAGGAAGATCAGTTTGAGAGCTGAATGGAGGTTGGACTGGAGTAGGGGGAGAGATTTGAGGCAGGGAGACCAACCAGTAGACTACTGTAGCAGTCCAGGCATGAGATGAGAAGGGCCTGTACTAGGGTGGTGGCAGTATCAGGAAGGAAGGGGGCATATATGAGAGTTATTACCAATGTAGAAATGACTGGACTTGGCAACTGATTAGATATGAGAGACAAGTAAGGAGTAAAGGATAACACCTTGGTTGTAAGCCTGGGTGACTGGGAGAATGATGGTACTCTTGACAGTAAGTAATGGGATTAGGAAGAGTAAAAGAGCTTGGGAGAAGGATTTGGACATATTGAATTTGTGATGTCTATGAGATCAATGCCTAATGGGGAGTTGCAGATGTGAGACTAGAAGTCAGGGGAGAGGTCAGGGCTGAACAAATAGATCTGAGAAGCATCTGCCTAGAAATAATTGGAATCATGGGAGCTGAGGAGATCATCAAGGCAAAGAGTGCAGAAGGAGAAGAGGACCCAGGACAGTCATGGTTAGCAGACCTGACCTAAATGAGAAACAGCAAAGAGACTGAGATGGAGCAGTCAGGTAGAGCAGTGTCAGGACACACAGACACACACACTCTGTCAAAGAGAGGAGGGTGATCACAGTGAAGTCAAAGGCTGCAGAGAGGTCAAACAGAATGAGGACTGAGAGATCATTAGATTTCAATTCAGTTTCAGTTGCAGATGATGTCTGAAGTCACACTTCCAGAGCTCAGAACTTGTTTAGCAGTTCTTCAGTTGATGGGTGTCTGGTTTGTTTCCAGTTACTTGCTTTTACAAAAAGTATTATTGCAAATATTTCAGGGCAGATGGTACCTTTTTGTCCTCTTTGGTTGGCCCATCACTTCTGACTCTTAAGATCTTTTGGATAAAGTGCAGGACTTGGAGTCAGGAAGGCCTGGTTTCAAATCCTGACTGCCATTTGGCCACCTAGAGGACTACAATGGAAAGAGTGCTAGTTCTGGAGTCAGGGTTAGGGGGTGGGGGCCCAGATCCTGCTTCGGCTAGTTGCCGCTTGATCTTGGATTGGTCACTTGAAGGTCCCAGTTTGGTCATCAGCGGGGGTGGGGTGGACTAGACGACCGCTAAGGTGCCTTCCGGCATTACACCTCTGATCCTCATTCCTACAGGGCATCTTTTAAACTCTCACCGTCAAGCACAGCGGGGAATGCGTGGTTTGGGGGAAACTGGCAGACACGCCCAGCGCTTACTTCTAGAAATGGGGCGAGGCCCTGGGGCTCAGGCCTCCTCAGGCCTAGACGTAGGTTAGCGTTAGCTTGATTGGTTGACAGCTGAGGCCAGCCCACGAGAGCGATCCCGCGCCGCCGCCCCAGCATGAGACTCAATCCGGCTGGGGGGTCGGGGGCACTCCGATGCTCCCGCGTGGCCGCAGATCCCGAACTCGCCGGCCTCTCCCTTGCGCACGCGGCAGGGCCCCAGCGGCGCGGGGCTCCAGGCGCATCCCGCCGCTATTTCCGTAGTTATGGAGACTGCGGCCGCCCCGCGCTGACTTCCGCCTCACGTGATGTTGCCGCCCGGCAAGGCCACGCCCCTCGTCACCGCCCCCGGAAGCGGCGCGGCCCGGCGGCTGGGGACGGTTGGGTGCGGAGCGGAGCGCGGCCCGGGCCAGCACGGCTGCGCGCTCCACCCCCGAAGGCGGCCCCTCCCCCTCCCGCCCTGCCCGTCGGCTCGGCCTCGGGTACGGACGCCGAGACAGATCCACGGCCTGGGCCCCCGGCGGCTCGCCACGAGAAGCCGGGGCCGGGAAGGGAAGTGGGGGCGGGCCTGCGGCAGGTGAGGGGGCCTCGGGCTGCGGGGGGTGTGGCCGGGGGCGCCGGCGTGGAAGTGGCTGTGTGACGGTGGGGGGGCTCAAGTTGGGAGCCTGAGGCAGGCACGCCGGGCTGCATCCGAGTCCCGCCTCGGACACCCACTGGCTGTGGGACACTGGGCAAGTCATTTAACCTCCCTGTGGCCCACGCAACTGTCTACGACCGTAAGTTGGTGGACTGCATTGGTAGCAGGAATTAAACAAGTCCTGACCCAGAACGAACAAAAACTGTATCCCCCTGTGATACTGTATGTGGGTCCTGTGCTTTTAGACACGTCCTCCCGCGGGAGTCTGCGGGTGTCTGCACAGTGTGCGCTTGAAGCCGGGGCGTCTTTGCCCGCATCGTGGTGTGCGTTTCTAGAGGCACGCAGGCTGGAAATGCCTTCACCCCGTCAGCAGAGACACTGGTTCTAGGTGAAATCACTCCACAGCCTTCAGTTCGATATCTTCATCTCTGCTGTAGGGCTGGGCCAGAGCCAAGTGGGATTTGACGAATGCCCCAGAAATCATCTGTTAAAAATCACCTCGAGGTTCTCATGCATTTTTTTTCCAGAAAGGTTTTGTAGTATCCATAGCATGCACTTTACATTGCTAATTTGCCTCTATTTGAGTACTTCTTACTCCTGTAGACAGAAAATTCAAGTAAGACTGAGAAGTAACTTAATAGCCGTTCCCAAAGTCTTTGAGTTATTATGCCATCTATTCTATCTCCACTCAGCCAAAGAACAAGAGGAAATGGCCTTAAATTTGCTTCAGAAAAGATTTAAGGTAGTCAGTTTTCTGGTTATAAATTTTGGCAGATGTTAAAATGGATCTACAGAAAAGTGGGGAAATTTTTCCCTGGCTGTGACTCGGGATAGAATAGCTGGCCCATTTGCCTCCGCCTAGTTAGATTTGCAGGCCTGCCAGGAGTCCCCCTAAAGCAATGAGACTTCTATTAATATGATTATTGCTGTTATGCATATAGTATTTATTCATGAGGTGTAGTCGTAGAGAGGCTATAGATTAGGATAAGGGACTTACAGTAAATGAGGAAAGTGACATTTCACTGCATGTAATAAGCTGATAACCATTATTTGGATTCCAATGAGACAGGTGCTCATCATCCTGAAATCTCTACAAATGCCAAGCATTGTTAAGGGGTAGGTATCTGAAGAATCGGATTAAACAGAGAAGCTTTGATGTTTACACATACATAGAAGATATTCTAAGTAGGGTCAGAGCTAAAAATGAAGTGCATTACTTACCAAAATGTAAGGTTTTTTTTCCCTCGTAAGTTGTCTTAAATTAAACCATGTTGTGATTTGTGTTCTTTGTTGATTAAACCTAACCAGCTTGGTCAGACTGTTAAGCTTTCTTTGCCTCATGGTTTATCCCTCATGTGAACTGGAAGATTTAAACCCCCTCTAAAGGGATGAAAGGGATCTGTGAGAACAGACTTTCCTTTTTCATGCTGGTTGTACCCAGCTGTTTTGCTCTCCCAGCTGTGAGGCTTTTTCACTAAGCAGTCAGTTGCTCAGTCAACAATTGGTATCTCTTTTACCTTTCATATACTGCCAAACCAGCACAAGTGTTAAACATCACTTGTCTTGAGCAGTAATTTAGTCCCTGTCCAGGGAATCATTAAGTCTAGAGAGTCTAAAGTTAAAAATGAAATAATTTTTTCTACATTACCAAGAAATATTGGTAAGAAGCTTCTTTTGTATATATGATTATGATATGCTATGGGAAAGAAGTTAAGGATAGGTATAATGTCTTTGTGTGTGTTATATGTATATATATAATATATTTCTTGTGTCTTTTGTTTGTTCGTATTTGCAGTTCCAAACTGTTCATTTTGCTCTCAGTTTGGTGATTAGGAAAGCTCATTTGTTGGCCTTATTATCTAAAAACAGTTTTATAATTATAAGAAGTAGTTTTCCATTCCTAAGCAAGATTGGAACGTTGCCTTCTCAGAAAAGACAATTTATTTCTTGTAATGTAATTTAGTAATGGAACTTTAAATTCATTGTAAACTAAGTAGATTTTTTAAAATGACAGTAGCTTTAATCTGTCCAGGTAAAAATACTCCCAGTTAATGTACCAGATGCCTTGATTTTAATAAAATATCTAGCCCAAAGGATAAAGACTGTATTTGGGGAGTGGGGATGGGTTTTGTTTTCCACCTGTAATTATGCATTCTTAAGAAAATTAGAAACAAATGCAAAAAGCATGAAATTTCTTTTGCTTAGTACAAATTTTTAATGGCCACATTTATGCATGAGATAATTTCTTTGACTTTTTGTTTTTGCAAAGTCATTCATGTCTTATCCTAATTGATTTGCTTTAAAAGTACACCTTAAGATCAAATTGAGATGGTAGTCAAGTGTCTGGATTGAGAATGAAATGTAAGAATATCTAGCTCTAATTACCTTTTGAGTCACATACATTTTGTTGATAGAACCCTAAAGTAACAGGTAGTTATCTGACATAGAATATAATTTGTGGAAACAAACTGCTCTAGCACCCTGTTTTTCTTGAAGATAGTTTGGTTCCAGGCCACAGACTTTGGGCTGGGAAGAATTTCCACTTATGTTTGAAGTATAGGAAGTTGCCCAGATCTAGGCTCCCCACAGTCCAAAGACCCCACAAGTTACAAGACCAATCTTCCTAAGTTCTTAGTTGATTTATGGAGTTGGAGAATGTAGTAAAATAGTTATTTACAAACTATGCTGAGTATTGGGTTATATAGTTGTGCAGGTGTTAATACTGAACTTAATCAGAATTCTTCCTATGATTGTATCTGAAACTTCTTGCAGCTGATGAACATGGTGAAAGTTTTTGCTAATTAACTAGTACATATTTTCAGGTTTCATTGTGGATGAATAAAGAAGAATATTGTCTTAAGTGAAGGCTGGCTAACCTGACCAAGTATCTAGAATATTTGCAGTAGAAGGGACATTAGAAATTATTCAGTCTGACTTCATGTTATAGATGAGAGAACTAACCCCTAGAGAGGTGAAGTTACTTATCCAGGTCACATAACTGTAAAGCCAGGACTCATCAACCTCATTGGTACAGACTTATTTCAGTACCTCATAGGGTATACAATTTTTTTAGGTGTGATTATTCCCTCCACTAACACAGATTGTAGCCATTCCTTGCCTTGGTGAAGATGTTTTTGGTGAATTTCTGTGGCCAAAAAAGTTCATCACTAAATGGTTGACATGATCCTCTTGACTTGTGCTACAGAGGAGAGTCAGAATCTTTCACCAGACCTCTACTCAGTCTTTCCAGCTCAGTAGTACCTACCAGAGATTACACTCCCCTGACATGACTTTGGAGATCTCACACCACCATGAGGCATCAAAGTGGGACTTATTTGGTGAAAAAAGGACATATAATTTTAAATAATGTTTCTTTTTTGCTGGTTTGGTAGTAGTCTCACAGGTCTGTTATGATGCCATGTTTGGCCTCTCAGAATGCATGGTACAATTTTTAATCATAACATTAGACATTCAGTTAACTAAATTGCTTGCTATGTGCCAGACATTTTGTTAAGCTCCGGAGATACAAAGAAAGGCAGAAAATAGTTCCTGCCCTCCTGGAGCTGACAGTCTAATGGGGGAGACTATTGCAACAACTGTGTACAAATAAGCTATATACGAGATAAGTTGGGGGTAATCTCAGAAGGATGGCACTAAGGTTAAGGACTGACAAAAGCCTTCTTGAAGAAGATAGGACAGTAATTTATATAATAGTACTTTTTCCCATATGTAGGATGCAACATTATGCAGAAGAAAGGACAATGGATTCAGTCAGGTTCTGGGTTTAAATCCTGCCTTGACTTTATTACTGTGTGACCTTATGCAAGTCACTTACCTTCTCTGGGCCTCAGTTTCCTCATCTTTAAAATGCGGGGGTTCAACTAGGTCACCACTGTGGTGTCACCTTGTGTCTCTGAATCTGTGACCCTATGATGTGTTTATTTCAAGTAACATGGAACTCTGGAGGGTCGTATATAATATGTAGGCCAACATTTGGACACCTCTGATCTGGGTACTTTATTAAAAAGCAGCTTTATGGTAGCTGATAAAAACAGTCCCACGGTTACATGTTTATTAAAATTAGTTTTAGGGGGCAGCGAGGTGGGACAGTGGATAGAGCACCGGCCCTGGATTCAGGAGGACCTGAGTTCAAATGCGGCCTCAGACACATAACACTTACTAGCTGTGTGACCCTGGGCAAGTCACTTAACCCCATTGCCTAGCCAAAAAAAACCCCCTAAAATTAGTTTTAAAATACTTTTGTCAAATGTTTACCTTATACTGAATCATTAAAATTAAAAAGGTAACCTGTTGACTGGAAGTCAGGAGACTGGCTTCTAGCCCTAGTATTGCCACTAATTAGTTGTATGACCTTGAGCAAAAATCACCGAGCCTCTTGGAGCCTTGGTTTTCTTCTCTGGAAAAATTAGAAAATTGGACTAGATCATCTCTTAAGATCCCAAGAAATCTTGTGACCAGATGATTTCTAAGGCACCTTCTACCTCTAACATCGTTGTGATACTTTGGAATTAGACAGCAGTGTGTTCTTTAGAGCAAAAAAAGGTATTAACAAGATAGAATAGCTCTCATCCCCTTGCCTAAAGCATTATTTATGTGACTAGTAATAGCTTTTGTGTTTAGTTTTTGTATAAACATGAATTCTTGGTATAAAACATCACATGTTTTTATTTCAGGGTTAACAGCTGTTTCAGCAAATCATGGGAGAGATTAAAGTCTCTCCTGATTATAACTGGTTCAGGAGTACAGTTCCCCTTAAAAAGGTATGTGTGGTTTTGTTTTATCTCTTTTGTATCGTTCCCCCTCTCCCTAGTTCCCTAGGTATTTAATGATTGTCTGTTGAATTGACCTGTTTATAAAGTCCTGGTTTGAGTTTTTTGTGGTTTAGACACCACGCCAGTGTAGCCTGCCTCATTTCCATTCTTGCTAAGTACTGTGGCTTTACTGTTCTGCCGAAAAGTTACATAATCTGTGAAGTAGGGTTATGTTTTGAGGTTAATTCAAGATTGAAAGTGCAGATAACTTGGCCTCTTTATTTTCTAAATACATTTTTTGGTAGTAAGCCCCCCCACCCCATGTACTCATGCTTCTCTAATCAGATTACATGTTCCTGCAAATAGAATTTGCTTTTTTTAAATAGTTGCTTATTCACTGCTGTATTTTTTAATGTGAAAGACATGGATTACCATCAGAATTCTGGAAAGTATGGTAAAAATTCATTATAAAGCACTTGCCTATTCCCAGGATTGTTTCATACTACTTTGGGTCAAAATTGCCCCTTGTTTTTTACATATTGTTAAGTGGTGCATTTTCTCACTAAAATAGAAGATCAGCAAAATGGGGTGCCATATTCGTCTTTTAGAAGACCTTTGTCTATGATGATTTAAAAGCCTCAAACTCTTTAAAAATTGTTGATGTTGATAAAAGATAATCTTTTAAAACAGTTCTGAGATCATGTTGGAGAAAAGGGCTTCTTTAATTACAAAGTGTCTTCAAAGTTGAAACTGTCACAGAGTTGTCAGTGTATTATATTAAGATTTTTTATTGTGCATATATATTATATGCCTTTATTATAGCAGAAATAATATTCACAAAATTATGGGTTTTTTGTCACATCAAATAGCAATGAAGAAGACTCAAGTTTACAGTAGTTACAAAATAATTTTCCATACTGAAAGTCAGAGGCACATTTCTGTAATTCATCAACCTACAGGTTTCATTGGCACAGGGCAAATAACTTTCGAAGGCACTCTGTCACTTCCTTATTGTGTTCAAGCTGCTGATTTCCAACTCCTCCCCAACCGTCCCCCCCCCCCACATACTCTTTGGAGGGTGATGTGAACATCCTCATTTCTTCCCCCCCCCAGACTCCATTCAGGCTCACTAGAAGAAAAAAAGTCAGGACTATGGTATAACTTTTCGGAAGTCAATAGCCCTTTCTGTAAGTATATGTAAAAGTAGAGAATGGAATTTGAAACAAGTAGTGCTTCCTTTAGTGACTTCCTGTTGCTCATAAAGTACAATCTCTTTAGCCTAATATTTAAGGCCTTTCATAATCTGGCTCTAGTGTACCTTTTCAAGTTTAATAGTTTGTGTACCTCTTCATCTGCTGTATTTTGCCAGCCATCCTGGACACTTTCCTGATCTGGTTCTTCACTCTCCTGTCTCAGAACATTCATGCAGGCGATTCCCCATGCCTGGAACTCACCCCCTCCCATCTCTGCCTTTTGAAATGCTTTCCTTTCTTCCAGACTTAGCTCAGGTACCATTTCCTTGATCTTCTCAATTGAAAGTCTTTTCCTCTAAAAAGAGACTTAATTTTTATATCCCTAGATCCCAGCTCAGGGCCTTGCATGTAGTAGGTGCTTTGTTAAATATCTTTTGAATTGAATTAAATATTTTAGGAATTCCATAAAATTATTCAATTCAATAAACATTTCTTAAACACCTGCTAGGTGCAGCACACTAGATTTAATGGTATAATTATCTCCGGTTACCAGAACACTTAATAAAGAATTCATGACAAGTTTGCTGAAGAATTTATGATAGACATTTAATGTCAGTAGATAATATGAACACCTCCAGTTCTCTTTTTCTCTAACATTTTTTTTCTATTACTTCCTTAGAAAAGATCTCCTAAAAAGGTGAAGTGAAAGTGAATGTTTAAATAGCTATGAGACAGTATGGGTTATTTGAAAGACTGTTTTTTGGGTTTGGTTTTTATGTTAGTACATACCGTCTTGTTTTGTTTCTCCTAAATTGAAAATATCTCCTAGATCTCCTACACTATATGCTTCAAGATCCTAAATTTTTAGACTGTAATTGGTATGTTCAGTAAGATATCTTGGAACAGCCTTCATTTTCAGTGAAAGAAGAGAGCAGGAGTTTATTCTTAAAGATATGCTTGAGACTGGGGAAGTATGTGAGCACGTGAATGGAAGCACAAGTATGGTATCTCCGGTCAGTGCAGTGGCCATCCTTTCAGGTTGGGGTCAAGGGAAACTAGCCTGACCTGTTGTGTGGCCTCTTGCATGGACTTTTCCTTTGTTTTGCTGGTACAAACTGAGTTGGCACTTTTGTTTAATCTGTGTTGCTCTAACTAACCTTGGGAAATTTCACATCACTCTTAATTTTTTTTTTAAATTATAAAAGCAAGATGAAATTTTATTTCCAACAACAAAGGAATTCTTCAAGCAGAAACTGAAGGACCTCTTATCAGGGATCTTGTAGAGGGAATTCTTGGTCAGGCTCACCCAGAAGCCGTGCAAAAGCCATTCATGTACTTTTTCCAAGGTAACGAGGCCAAAATACAGAATAGACAAAAAAGGTAACCAAGCAAGCAGAATTGTGAACTTTTTTCCTTTAGACGTATGACTAGTGCTGGCACTAATACCTCCGTCAAACAACCCACCCCCAACTGATTATAAATTCATAAATAACCATTTGTAATTCTAGGCTAATGTTTCCTCTTGGTCCTCTGTGAGAAAGCCCCAAGGTCACAAAAGTTAATCTATTCTCCCTCCCATCTTCCTCTCTGTGGTTCATTTCTGGTAGCAGGCCTCTGTCTCCTTGAGATTCTCCCAGGAGCAAGTCTCAAACAGCTTCTGAACATCATCATCATAAGCTATCACATTTCTTCTTGTGCTTTTCCCCCAACTGTTAACGGCTTGTTTTTATAATAGAGGCCCACACCAGTGGCCCTTCTAGCAACTGACTCTGACCAACTCTGAGGCTGAAACCAGTGAAGGATTCTGCAATACCTGCCTTCCTTCCTCCCTATTCCATCACCTCTCCCATTCCCCCCAACATCTGTACACAAAGGCCTACCCAGACTTAGTTTGCTACAGATGTCATATTCGATTTTACAAAATAGATTTCTTCACATTGACTTTATGGAAATTGAATTTGGATAACGTTAACACTACTAAAGGATAATATTCTTTGCAGCAATACAAAGCCATCTTCTACAGTTTGGTTATTGGCATTAACACAGATGGAAACAAAAGATACCAACTAAGCTGTTATTAAATAGGAATTTGGCTTTAAGGTTTGGATCCCCTGGTTTTATCTTTTAACAGGACAATGCTATTAATATTATCAGTGACATTCTACTTCTGTAAAATAAGAGCTGTTTAAAAACGAAATTCATTACAAAAGTCTTCATTTAAAAAAATTTTTTTTTTCAGATTATAGTAGATGATGATGATAGTAAAGTGTGGTCACTCTATGATGCAGGCCCCAGAAGTATCAGATGTCCCCTCATATTTCTTCCTCCTGTAAGTGGAACTGCAGATGTGTTTTTCCGGCAGATTTTGGCATTGACTGGATGGGGTTACAGAGTTATAGCAGTAAGTATTACTGACCTTGCTTCAAAGGACCAGATTTTTCTTTTTCTGCTATCATTTCAGGCCAGGTATAAAATCCAGGCTTCACAGTTGGTTTTTCAGTAAGAAAGAAGTTGTTTTGAATGCTTAAAAAAGTTGTCCAGGTATTTGAAGAGAAGTAGCATGTATACTCAGATGTATAACATACATGGGACTGTAGGTCACATCGTAGCCCCAAAGACATGGTTATGTGTAGGAACTGATAGCACCAGCACAAGCTTATTTGTCTCCCTCTCTAAATTAACTGACTGTTTTGTTCAGACTTTTTCTGGATAATGGAGAGTGAGAGAGTGAGATAATTCATTGTAGGGTTTGAAATGACCTTTTGTAAAGGTATAATCCAATTGTGAATTTGGTACCTCCTTTTTCCTTCCAATTCCTGCTGGATAGCTGACTGTATTTCAGCCACTAAGATTGAGAGAGAGAGAGTATGTGTGTGTGTGTGTGTGTGTGTGTGTGTGTGTGTGTGTGTGTGTGTGTGTGTGTGTGTAAGTTTCAATGTCAAGTAGGGAATTGAAATCCAAGCCCACTGCCCTATTCAGGTAACTGAAAGTTGATTATATGTTTATGTCTCTAAAACCATAGTATAAATTACTTAACTTTTCTCATGTCTGCTAAATGTCTGTAATTGATTTTTCTTTTTTCTTTGGAATTATGCCTAAATGAAAAGCTAGATATTATTAGCTATAGATGTATTAGGTATAGATTAACTATATGTAGATAGATCTATATCTATATCTATCTATATATATATTAGCTAGCTTCTCTGGGTTTTAGCTATCAAGTTGGCTTCTTTGATCCTGTTAGCTAGATGGACTTGCAGTATATATTTGGTCAGAATTCTGTACCCTGTGTGCATATCTTTTCTCTTTCATTACCCAGAAAGGAAATTGAATAGGTTAGTTTTTTGGGTTTTTTTTACTTCAAAACAGTTATATCTGGGTCATCATTAACCCAAGTTCTTTAATTGCTCAGCTGTTCAAATCTTTTTTTCTCCTCTTCACAAAATGGTAGAAATTCTAATTCTTTGTGGAATTTAATAAAAGTAGAATTTATTATATAAAAGCCATAAATTGTCATTGATTCAGCTCAACCTGATGTCAGTTAAAGGACCAGATGAATATAATTGATTTTGAACAGCCAACCAGTGCAGGCAGGGTTTACATACAGAAGGCTTTGGAGATAAACTGCTCACTCTCAGCAGTCTGTAGTTAATAACTTGTATTTCTTCTCTTTTCTTCGTCATCAGGGAACACTAATTGAGAATGTTCCTGCTCCATGATGCTGTCGTCAGTTTCACAGATAGAAAGACTAGCACAAAATCAGAGTGAAACTCAGTACCAAAAAGAAGACAGGGAACATTTTGTTTAAAAGCTCCATAAAGATATGTTGTGGCAAGAATAGACAATGGAAGCTGTGTAAAAGTAGCTACAACCCTCATTTATTTTCATGCCTTTACCTAATGTAGATTTTATTTTCAGTTCTATTGACTCTTATCCTAGAAGGAAGTTTGATTTGAACAAAATCATGATTTCTTTTCAAAGAAAGGTTCTCTTCTCTCATTACCCTCACAGGTTTTTTTGAGTGTTTGGGATTAAAATTGATCTGCATTAAAATTGTCATTCATATAGTATTAGGAAACTCATATTTATCCATTCTTTAGCACCAACTTAATCTTTTTTTGTTCCAACTACATTATTACCTCTAATTTAAAAAAATATTGCTGTCTTTTGTTTTTATCTCTAAATATATTCCTTCCCCTCTTTTACCCTAAAGAAATTTCACTTGTAACAAAGGAAAAAAAGAGAAAAAACAGTTCAGTAGAAGTAGCCAGCGTTGTTCCACACACAGTCTCCCACCTCTACAAAGAAGTGTAATGTTAGCTCTAATTTCTATTAAACAACAGAATTAACCTTTAAAATGCATTATGACTTGAAACTAAAAACTAAAATCTCATTATTGTAGATTTTCAGTTAGAAAAAAATTATCAAATGATAAATGCTGTTGTATATTGAGTCATTTTCCAGATGTACATGGATTAGATTCCATTGTTTTAGTACTTTAAATAGCATATTTTAAAATTCTTCTTATTACAGCTGCAGTATCCAGTTTATTGGGACCACCTTGAGTTCTGTGATGGATTCAGAAAACTATTAGACCATCTACAACTTGATAAAGTTAGTACACTCAAAATTTTTAGATAACATACTTTTAGCTTTATATGGAGAGAGTATGGGCAAATCACTTAACCTCCAAGTGCCTCAGGTATCTATATGAGTTATATAAGGTAACTCTATAAGTTGCCTAATGGTTGAACATATATATTGGTTGAGAGTGTTTCCTGACATGCAACTTCCCACACCAGTGAAATCAGAGGTCCAGATATGTGTGTGGTTTGTGTAGTTTTTTTTAAACCTGGGTGTAACTTGGTTATGTTATATTTCTTGCTTAGAAATTTGTTTTTGAAGCTATACTTAAAGCTAAACAAAAAGCATCTTACATTTCCTGTCTGTTTAGGTATGTCAAGTGGCAGAGAATAGCCACAGCTGCTAAACTTGGTTTAGTTTTGTTTTAAAATTAAATTTAGGATGGAATTTCCAGGCATTTTACTGCTGTTTTTTTAGTAATTTATATTTGATTCAAATTAAGGTTCATCTTTTTGGGGCTTCTTTGGGAGGCTTTTTGGCGCAGAAGTTTGCTGAATACACTCACAAATCTCCTAGAGTTCATTCCCTTATCCTCTGTAATTCCTTCAGTGACACCTCCATCTTTAACCAGACTTGGACTGCAAACAGGTAAGAGAATTAAGCTGAAACTGATATTTCACTTAAAAACTGTCTAGTTTTTGGGGAGTAAGGGAGAAGGAAGGATAATTGTATCTCACAGTCGTGTTGCTTTTTTGTTCAGTTGTTTTACTTGTGTCCAATTCTTCATGACCTCATTTGGAGTTTTCTTGCCAGAGATACTGGAGTGGTTTGCCATTTCCTTCTCCAGCTCATTTTACAGATGAAGAAACTGAGGCAAATAGGGTTAAGTGACTTGCTCAAGGTCACACAACTAGTAAGTGTCTGAGGCTGGATTTGGACTCAAGAAGATGAGTCTTCCTGACTCTAGGTGCCAACACTGTATCCACTTCACCATCTAGCTGCCTATGGTCATGCCATTGCCCTCTTTAAAAAAAAGAAAACTTTATAAGGAAAAAAAAAACCCAATGAACACTATATTCTCTTCCAAACCTTGATGACACATATATTTTTTTATACACTTGATACCAGCATTTATGGACTCTCCTGTATTGACTTTTCCTCTCATATTACACCATTTTATAAAGATGTTTCTATGATTATATGTATCCGCATAATTCACCTTGTCATTTCTGATAACCAGATAGTGTCCGTTGTGTTGATGGACCCTTATTTCCTTAGCCATTTTCTTATTATGGGGCCCAAAGGTTGTTGCCAGGTTTTCATGGTTATGAATTGTGCCTCTGTGAAAATCCTTATCCAAGTTTTGTTTTTTGTTGATGTTGCTTTTGTTTTACTTCCTTTGGGGCATATTCCTCGTACTGGAAGAATCAAGTTAGAAAAGATTAATAGTTTTGCTTTTCCTGGTACATATTGCCTTGTTGCTCTTTACAAGGTGTGAACTAGTTTATAGTGCTACATAACTAAATAAATCACTGTGGGCACCTACATTCTGACTGGTATTAGGTTTTGTTATTTTTACTTATTTCTTCTGTTTTAACAGGTCTGTGATATTTTTGCTGGTGAGGTTAGGTTATACATTTTTAAAAATACCCAGTGACTTAAACATACCTTTGTGATTGGTCTAGTTTTCTCATAAGGAAAACCCTGTTGGCATATTTTTCACAATTCAGGTAGTGTTACACTGTTATGTTTTGAAATATTCCTCTAAACTATCCCAGTATTATCATTCTTTATTTTCAGTACCTGATCTAATATCATCCTTAAAATATTAAAGAGCTAACAGGAAAGAACCTGGTTATTACTGGAGGGGATAACATGGGCCCTGGCACAGAATGATATTGTGGAAAGAATCTTGGTGCTGGAGGACCTGGTTTTGAGACTGGGCACTGCCACTTACTAGTTGCATGACCCCTGGGCCTCAGTGCTGAAATCTGAAATGAGGATGATCATATTTGCAAGACCTCCTACATAGGATTGTGGGGAGGAAACCACTGTCAACTTGAAAGCAATATTTAAATATAATTTAATTAATTTAATTAAATAATATAATTTAAATATAAGAGTCATTACTCTTCTCCCAATGCTTTCCCAATTTCAGCATCAACCAAAACCCATTTTGTACCTATTGTAAATGATTCTCAGCTTGAGAAAAAATTAATTTAAAACCATTAAATGGATGTTTGGTAATCATAAATGTTCACATTCACAGATTACTTCGGGAAATATGTTTTTTCAGATCGCCAGGAGGCTTCTTTTCTTTGAAGCAGCAGTTTCACAAATGGTGTTTTGACAACCTTAAAGGGTTAACGCATCTCCCAGAGCAACCAGTATTGTCAAAGGGAGAGCCTGATTCACTGACAGGATTAGGCTGAACTTGTAATGGTCTTTATAAACTAGTATCCAAGTGAAATCAACTTTTTTATCTTTTTTAAGTGTTTTGAATTATTGCCCATAATTCTTTGAGATACTCACATGATGGTTTAGTAACAAACAACATTCTGTCATCCTTCATGATCTAGAAGAAGGCACATATGATGTTTGTTTACCAAAAGGCAGTCCTATACTCAAGAATAATTTATTCTGCAAAATTAAGCTCAATCATAGCTACAGGGGGAAAAGACTCCATAGAATCAGTAACTTCCTAGAATTGCTGTTGAGAACCAGACCTTAGAAGAATCTTTGAAACCCAAAAGAAAACCTAGAAAGCAACTTGGGAATCCCTCTTGACTTGTTTTTAGTGAAATCCTAATACAGATGTTAGAGGCTGAGAAGGGCCTAGTAGGGATGGACTGCAGCATATTTAAGGCAAGCACCACTTGCTTCTCCATGAGACCTTTCCTGATTGTCCCAGCTGCCTGAGCCTCCCTTCAAAAAAATCACTTTGTATTTATCTTGTATAGAGTTATTGATGTGAATGTTGACTTGCTAATGGAATGTAAACTCCTGGAGGGCAGGAACTGTTCGTTTTTTGTCTTTCCATCCCCAGTATCTAGTACAGTGCCCAGTACATGGTATACACTTAATATATGCTTGTTGATTGATTGAATGTATACTATTGGTGTTACATGCTTAAATGTTCAAAATACTTCGTTTGTGTCTGTGCATTGCAGCTTTTGGTTAATGCCAGCATTTATGCTCAAGAAAATAGTACTTGGAAACTTTTCATCTGGTCCTGTGGATCCTGTCATGGCAGATGCCATTGATTTTATGGTTGACAGGGTAAGGAGTATCTCACTGTCCATGTTCTTTGCTATAGAATGCTCCTATCTGCCTATGGCACTGTATTCCTAAAGCTGAATATTACAGGTTGGGGTTTTTAGGTTTTTGTTGTTTTGTTTAATGTATATAAGAGGTGATTATTGAGTTTTAACTTTTTCATATATCTGAACATGCATTTACAAAATTGCCCAAGACTTCTTCTTTATGAAATCTCTCTCATTCCATGCTTCGTAGTTTCCTATTTAGAGGTTAACTATCGCCTATTTTGTCATTACTAACTCATCCGCAGATCAGAGACTCAGGCGGTGGGGAATTTCAAGAAATAGCGCATTATATTGCATTTAAATTAAAGAAGCTTAGGTCCTTGCATAACTCTAAAGGTTTCTGTGTATTTTGCTTCCTTTGGGTGCACTAAGTCCGTTGAATGTTTTTGGTTTTCATTCACAATTATAGTTTTCAATGCCTGGAAGACAGTATTCTCCTACTGGGTGAGGAGGAAGAGAAGAAAGAAGGAGGTGCCAGTAGTTTTAGTAGGGGGGTGAGGGAGGCAGCCATGAGTCAGACATTCAGAATAGTCTTCCATGGAGGATTGCTCATTGTGCCCAAAGTAGGTATCATCATACTTGTGGGCCTTCATCCTGAATGATCTCTGGTCTTGTACTTAAATACTTAAACAGGTATAAAGCAGGTTTACTTTTATTAGTTCTCAGTTCTTTTTTTATATAATTGTGAAAGGATAGGGGTTAATAGTCCTACCATTTTGTGTTCATCTGTTTTATTAAATACTTACCAAGTAGATAGTCTTTTGGAAACTGTCACCTTGTAGAATTATCTGCTGATGTTATATATACATCATGAATTAGGTTCATCACTTATAGCCATGCATTTGAGGGATTAATTGAAGTTGAAAACTGTCAAATGCCTATTGCAGTTTATCTCTTTTTTAACCATCACCAGAATGAGGAATGAGATTTTACAATTGTTGGAGAAAAAAATTAAGGCTGAGTGGCTTGGTGCAGATGACTAAGAGGCCATGTCTTTTTTCTCTCATGTTAAACATGTTTCATCATCAGTGATATTTGTTGAAACACCCCCTCTGGGTGACATGCCAGTGAAAGCACTGACTTCCTCTGTTGTTGATTTAAATATCAACTAACAAATCTTCACCTTTGTTTTCTCCTATAGCTGGAAAGTTTGGGGCAAAGTGAGTTGGCTTCTAGGCTTACCTTGAACTGTCAGAATTCTTATGTGGAACCTCATAAAATTCGGGACATTCCTGTGACTATTATGGATGTAAGTTTTGTTTTTGTATGTTAAAGTAGATATTTTACCTTCATTTACATAAAGGTAGAAACCTTGTATCTTTTTTATTCAGAATTTTCCTCACCTTCCAGAATCCTAACTTTACTTTTATGGATGTTTAAAATGAGAAGTTGTTTGTTGTTGGTTACTTATCCTAGGTTTGTCCTGGAAACAGCTTTATTGTCAATTTGATTTCTCCACTGAAGTCCCACTCATTGTCTCTTTGTGGCAAGGAAGGTCACTCTGAGTTGATGAATGCTGTGTCAACAGAACATCAGCTGTGGCAATAATACCAAAACATACCAAATTTTATTTACACTTGCTAATTAAGACAGTATTTTAGCTGTAAGGGCAGCCGGGCCAAACCACTGACCACACATGACCAGAACACACCTTGGGCCTCTCATAGGTGGCAGTTTCATGATAGCCTTATGGCTAGTACAGAGTTTTGGGTTCTTATATTGTTCATTCTTTTTGAACTCTAGGATTACAATGAAATTAATTGGTGTAGTAGTATAGAGGTCAGGTGTCCAGAATGTAGGCAGTGAGAGTCTCACTGTGCTCTGTCCTTGTCCACATATAGAGCATTATTGTCAGTTCTAGGGCATTTCATGACGGACATTGACAAAGTGTAGAGGTTCCAGGGAGAGCACCCATGGTGGTGACTGAAGACCATGCCATTCCAGGATCAGTTGAAGATACAAGAGAGAACTTAGGATTTGGTAGCTCTGAAGGATCGTCATATGGAAGAAGGACTAAAATGGGGAGGGATTAGAAACTATGTTTTATAAAGATCAATTGAAGGGCTGTTTACACTGGATAAAACTTAAGGAGCATATGATAACTATCTTCAAATATATGAAGTGTTATATTGGAAATGGATCAAACTGTTCGTTTCTTCAGCTTTCTCTAGCTCTCTTCACTTGACCATAGATAACCTCAGGGATCTCACCACAACCCAAATCTGTGTTCCCTCCATGATTCTGAACCCTAAACTTCCCCCTCTAATTATAACTTTCTGTCTTCCAGCATATACTTTGTTCCTTCTACAACCATTCTTTGTCCTCGTTGTGGCCTCCATTACCTGTATCCCTCCTTTTTTTTCAGGGGCTATGAACTGTGCCTTATTTGGAAAGGGAAGTCTTATTATCTTCCCTCCACAGTCTTGATCCTATAGCTGACCTGTTCATCTGTATGCTCTCTTCCACCCTTGCATCCGTTGTGCTCTTGTCCCATTGGTACTCATGCCAAATCTAACTATGGATTACATCATCCGCCCCTATTCTTTGCTCCTATTCACGTGCTGCTGAACAGGGCTTGAGAAAGTCATACAACTGCTGACTGGCTGCATTACAGATTTATGCTATCTAACCTTGATACATAGCTATCATTTTATTCTTCCCTGATTGACTTTCTGTCATAGTCTCTGCAGTGGCTGTTTGAAACATTTTTCTTCTTAACTCGAGACGCCAGGCCACCCCATTCCTCTCTCGCAGCAGAGCAACTCACTTCTTTCTTTACTGATAAAATAGAGGCCATCTGTCAGGCACCTGCTCTGCTCTCTGTGACTCAAAATTACATGTATATTCTTTGAATTTGTTCTAGACTCCAAGGAAGAGGTGAGCCTTCTCTTCACCAGGGCCAGCCCCTTATGCCCTTGATCCAGTCCCCTCCAGTCTTCTCCTAGAGCTTGAGCCTTTGATCATTCATCTGCTTGTATCTTAAATCTTTCTTTATCTTCTGATTTCTTCTCTTCTACTTGCATACTCTGGAGTCCCTCCAACTACTGTCCTTTTTTCCCTCCTTTTACAGCCAGATTCCTAGGAAAAAGTCATCTACTCTCACCTGATCCCAGTTCTTCACCGCCCCTTGTAATCTGGCTTCTAGACTTTACCATGTGATTGAAATTGCTTTCTCTGAGATTACCAGTGAGTAATCTCTTAAGAACTTAGTCCAGTGGCCTTTTTTCAGTCATCTTGTTAGATCTCTGCAGCTTTACCTGGTTGGCCTTTTCTTACTACTAGACATAGTAGGATAGGCTCTGTTACTTTGGTTTCCGTAGCACTGCTGCCTTATTTCTCCTGCCACCTGTCTGACTACCTTCTTTCTTAGGTTATCCTCTATTTCCTGCCTTACAATGGTAGATGTTCTCCCAAGGAGCTCTGTCCTGGGACTTCTCTGTTCTTTCTTAGTGCTCTGATTAGATTCCACAGGTATTTAATTATCATCTATTTATAGATGTTTTCCTAAATCTTTATTACAGCCCTGATTTCTCTCTTGAACTCCAGGCCCATGTTGCCACTACCTGTGAAATATCCCTGCCCGTTTGTATCTCAAATGCAGTATGTCCAAAACGTCATTATCTTCTTTTCCATACCGCCTGTCCTGCCTCCACATTTCTACATATATGCTGAGGACACCATCATCCTTCCAGTCAATGAGATTCAAAAACTCAGAATTATCTTTAACTCTCTCTACCTAGGCAGTTGCCAGATCTTCTCAGTTTTCCCTCCATAATTCCAAGGGAACAGTGGAAATAATAACCAGAGATAACTGTAATAATATAATAACTAATAAGTGGAGAAATCAGGAAAGAGCTCTTAGAGCCTTGAAGGGAATTGGTGATTCCAAATGAAGTAATGAGGGAGAAAATTCCAGGCAAAGAGGAGAGCCTGCCCAAAGACAGGAAGTGGAATGTCTCGTATGGAAAATGATACATGTCGTTTGTAGGCTGCTTTGACGGGAATGTAGAATGCTTCAGAGAGAAAATTGCGGTGTCCTGTTTTCTGATCGTTCCCTTCATTTGAAGAGACCCCATTAAAGACAACTGTATGTTTAGCTTTTTTCCTTTTTTCTCAAAGGTATTTGACCAGAGTGCCCTTTCAACTGAAGCTAAAGAAGAAATGTACAAATTATACCCTAATGCTAGGAGAGCACATCTTAAAACTGGAGGCAATTTTCCTTACCTTTGCAGAAGCGCCGAGGTGAACCTTTATGTACAGGTAAGTCCCAACTCAGGGACTTCTCAAACATTAGGCTGTTTTTCTCATTTTAATGCTAAGGTGGAGGTAGAGGCCAACACTTGGAAGCATTGGATTGTCGTGAGGAAACAATTAGATTTTCTGATATTTGGAAAGCAACTGACTACTACTCTGAGGCTGTTGCTCATTGAACACTTTAATTATAAGGTATAAATCAAGGACTCTTGTCCTTGTAGAATCAAATGTGATGGTGAGTAAATAGTATCTTCTTTTTGTTTTGTTTTGGTTTTTGCTAGGCAGTGGGGTTAAGTGACTTGCCCAGGGTTACAGCTAGTAAGTGTCAGATGTCTGAGGCTGAGTAGTATCTTTTGTTAAGAAATGTGAAAAAGTAATCCCTGTACTACAACCATTTAAGTGGTTCCTCTGCATTTCTACAGATCCATTTACTGCAGTTTCGAGGGACGAAATATGCAGCCATTGATCCCTCTATGGTCAGTGCCGAAGAACTTGAAGTACAAAAAGGAGGCCTTAATGTCAGTGGTCAAGATGAGCCATAGGGGGTTGTTTGCAGCTCAACAGCGAATCCATTGACCAGGCTTCCGGTACAATCAGGGCCTTCCAGTCTGCCTCTTTGTTCTGGGGTGTGGTTTGGGGGGATTTTTTTGTTGTTAGCCAGTCATCACTGGCTTCTGAAATAGGACCGATTATTCTGTAAAATGCATTACCGGTGGCAGTGAGCCCTCCAAGCCCAGTGTAACTGTATCTTTTTTGGTTTGACTTTTAGCTTTTGAATTTAAAGAAATATCTTTGAAGCCTCCTATTTTAAGAATTGTGAACATTTTTGCTACCAAAAGTCTTCACCTCTGTATTTAAGGGAACATTAATTTGTGGAGTTTTGGGGGTGTTTTTTAATGCTTTAGCTGTAAATACTGCCAATCCAGATTGTGTACTAGAAGCTTATTGATTATTTTTTATCTATTTTTGGTTAAAACTTGTTAAGGTGCCAAGGCTATCATCTGCCTCTTTGTTTTATTTCTAATCAAAACAAATTGTTTGGACTTTTTTAGCTGCCATCTTGCCAGCTATTATAGTCATTTTGAATAAAACATCAGATTCAAGAAGTGGCCTTCTTTATCATGATTGTTGCTGCTGCCATGTAGATACGTGGCTTTCCTTAAAATTGATCTGTTGCTGTCAGATTATCAGATGATCTTTGTAATTGTGTCCATATAGGAGCCCAGAATGATCAGTCATATGGGTGGGCTTAGTCTTTAAGTGGAAATATGTGGCATCAGTGTTGTGGAGAGAACTCATTCAAAAGGTTTACTTTGCTTCTTCTGTCACTTATTTTCTTTGTGAAAGAAGTGGGAAAGTGCTCTTGTCTACCATTTCGCAAACAATTGGAGACAGCCAGGTTGAGTCAGACCTGAAGAAGCAGGTCTGGGCATCTAAGCCCCAGAAGAAGTTGATTATAGTCATGCTGAGTACACTTGACTTTCAACTTCTTACCTACTTCTACTATAATGGACATACTTTAGGAACAGACTACTCATAATTAAAGGAAAGTTTGAGCTGAGTTGTTTCCCCCTTATTAGAACATTGTGCTTCAGAATCATTATGGAGGGGGCCTGAGTCTGTTAAAAGGGCATGTAAAGCACATGATTAAAAATGGTGTGAAATAGCCACAGTAGTTATGAAATGAGCCTCTCGATGGTGCCTTCTCAAATGCAGGGATCAACACAGTGGTTCTTACTGTTTTCTTGGTGGCTATAGAGGGTAAATGGCAGCCGATGGCTTCTGTTTTGATAGCCTACTTATGTTGTACATTTGCACAAGCTAAAAAGGCTTCCTTTTTGTGGATAGCCACTGAGAATAATGCATAGTTTTTATGATGTTACTCACAGTTTTCTGCTTTTCCCAAGCAGTGACTTCTCATTTATTAATACAAGGTGAAGAGAACTAAAGATCTAATCCCCAGCTATTGGGAAATGTGAATTGTGGTGGATTTCTCTCAGGAATAACTAATATGACTACAACAGACAACGCAGGAAAATATATAGGCCCTCATTTATATTCAGGTGTCATTTTCTGAAAAGCCCAAGTATACAACGGAAAAGTCATCTCTGAGCAAGAATTAGAAATGGTGTAGTGGACAGAAGACCAGCGGGAACAATAATGCTGACGTGAGCTGCTCTTTGGGCCAGTACTGTTGGCATCATTTGCCTGAGAATCACCTTTTCTCCCCAACCAGATGCTGCTAATAAATACTTGTCAGTGGAGCTGAGAGGAGGTTCAGAGTAGCTGTTGTGTTTGATGAATTAATTAACACTCGTCCAACTCAAAATTTTACTATAGAACCGCCAACCAAGATGTTAGTCTTGAATTTAAAGTTTGTTTTATTTAATAGCTTTTTCTTTTTTAAAAAATTAGAAAATTTCATTTCTAAAACTCATCTTACTAGGAGATCTGAATTCCTTATGATCTAAGTACTGTCTGACACATATAGCCCAGAGAACTCAATGTCTGCATATGGTTACATGGCCAGCACTCAAGGCAAAATCACATTCTTGCATTGAGCCCTCCGCCTTTTGCCCAGAGGTCTTTTTGTATTTCGGGGAGGGAACCACCTATGAGAGAATACACTTTCCTCCCAACTACATGTAAATTGGATGATGCATCGGACCTAAATCCTAGTCCCTGCTCTGCTAACTGGCCATGGGATCAGTTTCTTTACATGTTTATGAAAAAGGGGAGGGAGGGTTTGAACTAGATGATTCCTTGAAGATTCTTTCAAGCCCTAAATTCTGAGTCTCTTTCTCTTCTCTGGACCTTTGCCCTAATGGGCAACTTTTGCCAACAGAAAAAGGTTTAATTCGTTGCCAATGAATTTACTTTCCTAAGAAGTAATCCCCCTAATCTCCCTCTGTGGAGTTATTATGCAATAAAGCAAAAATTGGACATATGTAATTTTCAGGCCACATTTCTAAATTCTTACACAGCTGTGTAGCTCTGATTTTCACAAATGTTGGAGCTGGTAGATTCAAAATGGCCTTTGTAATTTTTTCTAGCCTTTTCTTTCTGTAATACTTGAGAATTCATAACAGCCTGTCCTAACCAGTCCTCTTCTAGCAAAACTCAGAAAAGCCATATTCTTGAATTGCAATTAACAAGGAGTGTACTCCCTTCCAAATTTTATAAAATAGACAAACTAGCTTATAAATAGTAACGGTTGTGGGGTAAGCAGACAGCACTAATAAAACCAAAGTGGTCAATTTTGTGTGATTCTAAAGCCCAGTGTATCCCATAAGCTATTCCTGCAGCTATTTACAGTGACTGGTTTCTGAGGAGAAGTAAAACAAATCCCTGCACAACCCTGGGGGAAGAGGCTACTGGCAGGAGATTTCCCTGCTGCTGATCTTGAGGTTCTAGGGTCAGTGAGAAATGGTGTCACAGAGCCATAAAACAGTAGCTACTTTCTGGAGGACTGCTCCACTAGCTTCCCCTGGGCCAGGTCACATCATTGTGCACTTCTTGGAGGAACTGGAATCTGCATTTGCTTTCTTTCTGATGCTTTCTGTAAAAGAAGACAAGGAATTTGGTGTTGGAAGGGTCTGATCTACCTCTCAGAACGGATTTTATTTTAATGACCTGAAACCTATTACTCTTCTTTCTTTATTCTACTTTCTTCACCCAAATGACAGATTAAACACTTGTGTGTATAATCTGACTCATAAGGGAAGGAATATTATAGTTGCATTTCTGAATAAGAGGAAAATACCGCCATACAGAAATATAGGAGTGGAGAGCAGGAGGGGAAAGCCTACCGGAAAAGCAACAGAGAGGTAGTACCTACAAAACCTTCTTATAAAAAATGTATGCCCTTCCTAAGCCTCCTCAGCCCTGCCCTCCCCCAAAAAAAACCTAAGAAAAATGACCTCATCTTCACCAGAATTCAATGAGGTTCATTTGGAAACAGCTCATAGCGCTTGACTTGTCCAAGGTCACCCCAGAACGAATCAGCAGAACCAGGATTTAGACCCATATCTAGCCTTCTCCCAGCTGGGTGCCCCGATGCCTTGTATCGAATTCCCTTTGTAAATGCATCCTAAGGACACCTGGTGGTGGTCCAGATTCAAGCTGGCCCTGCCAAGGCCACTACCTATGGAGCTGTGTAGAAAAGCAATTGAATTATCAGATTCGCCAAGGGATGCCATTGCTCTACTTAGCCAGATTTGCTGAGCATGTATTTTACCAGCAAGATCTCTTCTGCCAATTCCCACGAGCCCTTCGTATAGCCCTTTGTTTGGGTTTTCAGCTGCCATGATTACACCGTGGAGCCAAATAAGCAACATTCTGTGGCCGTGTTCCCGGTAGCTTTTAGTGCCTGATGACAATGGAGAACAGGAAGAAAAAACTCAGCAATAACTTGCAGCTGCCAGCAGCCATGTGAGTCTGTTTGTTTTCAGCTGCTGTCCAACAACTTCTTAAAGGAAAATGAAAAGACGCCTCTCACGAAGCTCATTTCCCTAGGTAGCTCATACAGCCGCTGTATGAGCCACTCGGGGAAAGCAAGTCCCTCCATGAAGGTCAAGGTCTTCCACGGACCTCAATCCCATGAGTCTCTGCGATCACCTCAGCCTGCAGGAATCTCTTCCCCTGAACTTTCTTTTAGAATAATTTTTACAATGAGACTACTTTGTTAAAACTTAGCACTCAATCCCAAACTATAACAAAAATGTGCTCAACCACAAATAACAATATCAGCTTCTCAGCAGCACTGTCATATCTGTGTGAGAGCAGGGGTGTCAAACTCAAATAGAAATTCTGTTGTTTAGTTATTTTAGAGTCTCTGTGACCCCATTTGGAATTTTCTTGGCTGGATTGGGTGGCCATTTGCTTCTCCAGCTCATTTTATAGATGAGGAAACTGAGGCAAACAGTTAAGTGACTTGTCCAGGGTCGCACAGCTAGTAAGTGTCTTAGGCCAGATTTCAGGAAAGTGAACCCAGAGTCTTCCCAACTCTGAGGCCTGGTGTTGTATTCACTGTGCTACTTGGTTACCTTCAGATAGAAATGGGGGCCATTAACGTGTGTGGAAGGATCCCCACAGGCCACATATGGACCTGGAAAACCACATGTTAACATTGTTGTGTTGTATTTTTGTTCTTTTTGTTAAATATTTCCCAATTACATTTTAATCTGGTTTGGGTCACACTCACCAGTGTTAGGCCACAAGGGCCATGTGTTTGACACCAGTGTTACATGATTTATTTTTGGAAATGAGGTGGTTTTTGTAGTCATTGTGTGTGTGCTGTTCTGCTTTGTATTATTTTGTGTAGTGTATAGTTTATCAGGTTTCTTTACAGTCCCCATATTTGTTACTCTTAATAGTCAGGTACATTGATGTGTAACAGCTTACTCAGCCTTTCTTCAGTCACGAGGCATCTGAGTTGTTGACAGGATTTTTTCTGCTAGTGGCATAGAATGCAGCTATTAGGAGTGTTTCTTGGGGGCACATCTCCAGCAGTGGGATGATGGAGATAATTTGATGTCAGTTTTATTATTTTTGTTAGGTACTTCCTAGACCGTTGGTGCTATTAGCCACGTCTGGGCTGTTTCCCTACAGTCCCACCCTCAGCCTTTTGTCCTCTTTATTGTTGCCACTTCAATTAGTTGTGCATATATGCCTCAGCTGTTTTCATTTTAGTTGGTTACAGGTGAGGTTGGACAGTTTTTTCATATGTTTATAATTTGTTGACCATATCCTTTGACCATTTGTTTCTTTTGAGCTTTTACAGCCTCTATAATTGGTGCCATTTATTTAGTACTTAGCATACAGAGCCTTATAATTATTTAACTCTGGTTCAACTTTTCCAGAGGGGTGTTGTCCCCCCTGATACACTATTAAGTGCCTCAAGAACAAGGATCCTGACTTAGATCTCTGTATCCCCTACAAGACCCAGCGATGTGAACTAGATACTTAGAAAACACCATTTGGAAAGGGCATCAGGGTATGCAGTCGTTAAATTGGGTGCTCTGGTTTTCTGGGAGCCATGTTTTCCCAATAGAAGGATCCCTTTTACAGGTCATTACAGACAAACCACACCTATCACTGAACTTTTTGGCTAAGCCCACAGACCCGTCACCAGAACTTATCTTCATTTGATACACTTCGTACATTTCCTCTACTATACTAGTCCTTCAAAATATGTACAGGGACCCCATAGACAAAAGTTTATTTTGCTTTGAAGGCCTACCATGTGTTCAAAGGACTGTAGTCAGTACGGAGAATTCAAAAAGGAAACAATCTGTGCTTCCCAGTTTACGTTCTACTGAGAAGAGATGTAGTACATGTACAGAAGCTATACTATATAAAGTAGTAGAAGGGGCAAAGGAGGGAGAGATGAAAGTGTTTGGGGAGCTATTTGGAGGGAGAAAACAGCAACAGCTTGTGGAGATTAAGGAAGACATCACGGGTGGTACCTGAACTAATCCTGGAGACAAAATCTAAGAGGTAGAGAGGAGGAGGGAGTATACTTCAACCATGCAGGATGGCTGATGCAAATACCTGGAGGTGGGAGATGGACAGCTTGTCTTGTTCTGATGCAATACAATAGTGAAAGATAATGTGAGGGCTGGAAAGCTAGAATGGAGCCTTCAGTGCCTCTTTAAGGAATGTGTATTTTATCCTAGAGGCAGTTGGGATCCACTGACATTTTTTGAGGAGGGGAATAATGGGTCAAAATTTGTGCTTTTTAGGAAGATCATTTTGGTGGCTCTGTGAAGGATGGGGACAAACTAGAGATGAAGAAATAAATTAGGAAGTTAGTACAGTAATTCAGTCAAAGAGTGGTAAAAGCTTGAATGAGTGATAGCAGATGTAAGAGGTGTTGTGGATGTGGGATCAACAGGACTGATGATGAATCCTGCCACCTGATTTCTGACGGGGGAAGGTGTCAGGTCTGGGGATGTGGCCAGAGCTGGAATCTGTTTTGCTGGATTATGCATATTTGTTGCAAGGGTCATTGGGTGGTGGTGGTTTTTTAATTGAAGATGAGGGAGAGAAAATAGAATTTTGTTAGATTTAATTTAAAAAAATAGTAATTGTATGTGGAGTATGAAGGAGTGGGAAGCATCAGAGATGGCTCCAGATTTCTGCATCTAGGTGACTTGAAGGTGACTCCCCCAGCAGAAATGAGGACGTTTGGGAAGAGAAGGTAAATTAGGCAGCAGCGTCACCGAGAAGGAATTGTTCATCAGTTTGCATCCTGGCCCAAAACCACCTCGTTGTTGGATGTTGTACATGTCATTTCAAAGGCTAGTTAATGCCTTGTTCTCAGTCAGGCCATAATGGGAAATAGCAGGGGAAAGGGGAGAGAAGAGAGACAGTCTGCATCTGGAACCTGGAGACCTGGGTTGAGGTCTGCTGTGCTGCCACTGAGTAATTTCACTTTCCTAGGCCTTCGTTTCTGCAGTTATAACATGGGTTGAGACCAGCCTTTCCTGAAGCACAGGGTCATCACAAGGCTTATATCAAAGAACATCTGTAAAAGTGTTGTAAAGAGAACCACTTTTCATTTATGGAGTGCTTAATAATGTCGCTGCCTAAGATGAAGTCGGTAGTTGATTCTGGTGAATGGGAGATGAGGCTTGTGGCATGAAATTAGTCTCACTAGCACCACCTTACCAGAACTGGGCTATAGCAAGAGAGCTGTAGCTTGCTGACATGTCAGTACCAAAGGTGTGCTAATGCTTATTAAATGAGGAAATATACAGACACTTTTCAAATTCCCACCTGACTCACTCCTTCTCTTCATTTAGCCGTTAGTCAATAAGAGAGGCTGGCAGTATGGGATGTGTCTGCATATTAAAAACATATACATACAAATATATATCTTATTTTTATATATATACATAAAATGTGTATATACACATATGTTGATTATCACTACCTCCACACTGAGTTTCTTTCAGAGTATCTGCTCAGCTTTCATCTTAACCATAAAATCAATACAGATTTTTGTAAAAATTCATTTGTATATATAACTATTATATATTACCATTTTACTAGGCTGCAGGAAGCAGAGAAATCTGCATGGTAAAATTTCTTCCACTTATGACTTTTTAAGAACTATAAGTGGAACTGGAAATTTTTTTGTAACAGTTAAATTCAGCACAGGCTTAGAAAAACTGGGTGTTTTATTTTTAAATGCTGGTGGGGGAGGGGTTGGGAAACTTTTACCAAAATAAATTAAGTTTCTTCATAACTACATGTCAGTCATGAGCTAGCCTGTTTCAGTCCTACTGCCCAGAAGAATGTTGGTTCTAAGGCAGACCCAGATCATTCAACAAATGTTTTGTTAGACTCTGTCGGGTCACAGCTGTACTCACCCAAGAAAATAAGACACACCCACACATCACTATAATAGAGTGTAACCTGAGGCAAGTCCATGTTAGGTACAAGGTGCCAGGAGAAAGCCAAGGAGGAAGAAATTATTCTTGGGGCAGCTAGGTGGCGCAGTGGATAGAGCAGCGGCCCTGGAGTCAGGAGGACCTGAGTTCAAATCCAGCCTCAGACACATAGTACTTCCTAGCTGTGTGACTCTGGGCAAGTCACTTAACCCCAATTGCCTTACTTAAAAAAAAAAAGAAGAAGAAAGAAAGAAATTATTCTCATGCTCAGGGGTCCCCTAATTAGAAAGGTTCAAGTTGTAAGGGCCCAGAGAAGAAGGCAAGTGACCTGCTCAAGGTCAGACAGCCAAAACAGGTACAAAGAGGAAACCAGAACTGAGGCCTCTTGAACTGCCTTTCACTGTTCTTTCCACTGCATCACAGGAAAAAAAGTTTCCCCCAGAAACATAGGTTTGTGTGTAATCAGTACCTGCCCATTGCTGTTCAATAGCACGAATGTGTGCATCAGTAAACTTCCAGTGATGTGCCAGCTTCTTCCAGTCGTTGTGCTTGAGGTATTTGGTGGCCAAGCACCACATTACTGAGCGGATGTGCTGGGTTTCCACCCCATGGTCCTGCTTAAAGGTTAAGGGTTTCACAGCCCAAGAGTCAGAATCAGTTCTGAGGTTGTCCTGCAGCGGCAGAATAGAAGCTGGTGATGTGAAAAATGCAAATAGCCTGTCAGGAGGAAATCATGGGACAAGAGTCTGCTTGGCCAGAAAAGAAATGTTTAGAAACAATCTGCTGCGTGTCCCAGCTTTCTGCTTGGGGGAGGGTAATTCCCGTCATGGGACCACAGTGGCTGTTGGCACCACACTTCATCTGCAAACCATCTTCCACCTCCCTGCCTCCAGGGGAGGCCATGGAAGACACCCCTGGTCTGTGAATTCCTTCTGTGCTGTCTCTGCAAGTAGCTATCTAGTTTGGGCTTGAATACCCCCCCCATATGGAATTCATTATAGCTCATATGATCATGTATGTTCTGTGACATTTTAAACAGAAGAGGCTTTAAGGAAAACAATTGGGAGGCCTTGGGAAATGAAAGTAATGTAAAAGTGCATCAATAAAATATTGAAAGAAATTAGGTGTAAATTTAGTCTTATGATTTTTTTTTTTGCCGAAATGAATAAGTCATCCTAATAACAGCTGATATTTGCATTGGATTTTGATGTTTGCAAAGCCTTTTGTGAAATAAAGATCTACAGGTGTTATCCCCATTTACCATTTCTCTGTCCTGGGCCGGCTCCCATCCCCAAAAAGAGGCTTCATGAGATAGGAATTGGCTCATTTTCAAGATGGTGTCACTGATTCTGTTGTTACTATCCTGTGATATCAGGCAACTCAGACAAATCTTTTATCCTTTGAAGTTCCATATCCTCCTCTGTAAAATGAGGATGATACCTGTAGTCCTCATTTCTGATCCCTGCCTTCTAAACTCTACCTGGATCTTGTCAACTGATGGACCACAATGCCAGTCCCTACTCTTCTGCCTCAGCTGCCCTGATTTCCAAACCTAGAAACCTAGTGTTAGAAGCACTTTGATGGATCTGATTTGCAGGGTCTAAAGCAAGACACTGCCATTCCACAAGCACATTTCATTCATTCAAGGCAGTTTGTTAAAGTGGGAGGAGTGAGCATAGTTGGTGGCCATGCCATTTTCTGTTTCTTTTTCCTGTCCCTGACCTGCACGTGCATCTCTTCCATCACCACTTGGAGGCAGTACTGGTTGACCATAGCTGACTGTAGCCAGGTTCCATCTTGAAACCTAATTCATGTTGTTCTCCACACACCAACAATGAGGAACTTTCCTACCTGTTCCCATTTGTAAAATCGATCTGCTTTTATGATCATATCTACCAAGCTGATGTGGTTGCCACGAGCAGCGACATCCAATGATGTTTTTCCTTGCTAGAATTAAGAGGAAAGAACAAATGGCATTACTATATTTATTTATATAAAATGAAGATGTGAGATTATTTTTAGTATACTCTGTAAACCCCTTTCACTGAAAAGACAACATTTCCTGCTTATACTAGGGAGTGGAAAATGAGAGGTTTCTTTAGGTATGATATTAGATGTTTAAAAAGTTTTCAAGTAAGAATATTCACATTCATAGACATCATTTATACCACTTCAAGGTTTATAGAGCATTTTCCTTACGAACAACCCTCTTTGGTATTACAATGCAAGTTATCCCTTTTTTAGAGAAGGGAAAATAGGAACAGGGATCTAAAATGACTTCACCAAAGTCACACAGCTAATAAGTAGCGTGATGTAAATAATGATGTCTCCACAAAATGCATTTTCAAAACAATAACACTGTCTAGTATTTACATAGGGCCTACAATATGCCAGGCACAGTGTTGTGCAGATATCTGATCCTCACAACAATCCCTGGGAGGTAGGTGGTGTTATCCCCATTTTACAGTTGAGGAAGCTGAGGCAGAGAAAGGTTAAGTGATTTGCCCAGGGTCACACAGCCAGTACGTGTTTGAGGCCAAATTTGAACTTGGGTCTTCCTAACGTCAAGCCCCCTATGCCACCTAGCTGCTGAAAGGTTGCAATGTGAGTTAATTTGAACAAGCTACGAATGCTGGAATACCTCAGTTAGTCCTTTGGACAGTGCTCTTCACCTCTTCCCTGCCTCGAAAGCCTCTGGGACTTTGCTTACTGGGGACAGCTGTGATAAAATGGCTCACACCTCTACTAAGAAGATGTGTAATGTTTTACTCATCATATCCTCACTGTCCTCCCCCCTGCTCCACCATCCTTTAAGGCCATCCAAAATGGAGTTTCCCATGACCACCTACCACAGGTGACAATGATCCATCCCTTCCTTAAATTCTTTTGTGACTTAGAGGCTTTATCACACAATTCAGCACTTACATTTCATCATATACTGCCTTGTATTGTTATTTAATGAACGAATGACCCTGGGCAAGTCACTTAACTTAGTCTTGGTTTCCCTTAGGCTAGAGTCTAAGGCCTATTAAGTACTTTCCAACCCTAAATCTATGATCCTGATGTATTTCCCAATTAAATAGTGAAAGACCCCACCTCAGTGCTAGTTTATACAATAGATAGATCCCATGGGTTGTGATTGTAGAGGCCACTGGACATGCACAGTGACTCACTGAGGCAGCAGGTGGAACGTCTGGTATTAAGAAAAAATGAGGCTCATACTTGTAAGTTTCAGCTGCTTTCTTCAATAATTTGATAACTACTTCAGTGTAATTGGTTTCCTCTGTTATCTTATGTATTTTGACGTTCAGTTCTTTTTCGCTTATGTCCAAATCTTCGTTACTCGTTTTGGGGATTTTCTTGGTAGAGATACTGGAGTGCCTTGCCATTACTGGTGAGGACACTAAGGCAAACAGGGTTAAGTGACTTGCCCGGGGTCACACAGCTAATAAATGTCTGCAGCTGGATTTGAACTCACAAAGATGAGTTCTTTGGCTTGGCACTCTATTCATTGCACCACCTGCTGGTATTTTAGTTTATGCATTTAAAACATCTTTGTGAGATGGGATCCAGGACACAAAAAAAGACGAAAAAGCCCTGGCCTATGTCGACTCTCACTCCGTTTCCACACATAATGTTGTATGTTGTTCCACCCATCACCTCCACCCCTCTGTCCCTCTGCGGGGCTGCACTTGATAGTAATTTTAATTATATTTCAGTGATATCAAAAGGGTTCATGGTCCCTACACAGAGAGCTGAGCCTAAATGATTGCTTGCCAGAGTATGTAACTTTTGGTGTATCTCCATGAGACCTGGCTCTGGGCAGCAAGTGAAGGGTCAGTGCCTTAATAACAGGAGTATGAGCGGAGAATCCACCTTGTCTGTCAAATTTAAGTTCACTCCTGCGAGGAGGATCATTTCTGCTATGTCTTGTCTCGCATTCTCAGCAGCAATGTGGAGGGGCGTCTGTTGCCTCTGTTTGAGAAAATAACATGAAAAATGAGAAATGGATTTCAGAGCAAAAGCTGTTAAACTTGGGATGTAATGGTAGAGCAGTGAGTTGGGCCATCCAGCACGGGGGCCCTGAACTAAGGAAGCCAAGCTTTGAATTGGCCATTGGCACTCTGATTAGGCCTTGAGGTTAAAAAAAAATCCCTTTGCTGTAGGCTCGCTTAAAGAAATTTGTAAATTAGCAAAAAAAGATAACTAGACAAAGAGAAGGTTTTTATCTGGAGCCCCTTTACAGCCAGCACCTTCGGCCTCAACACATTCTCTCCTTGCAAGATTTAAGTCCCTGGGATCAGAATGTGGTCTTTGGCTACTGACAGAGCAAGGCTCTCACAAGCACCTGCCTAAGGCAAACAGCCAGCGCCCAAATGGAATAAACCATCCCACTTCCAGATTAAAGACCCTGCATGTTTAACGACTTGTAATAGCTAGCTTAAGAGTCAGAAAGCAACCATATTTATAAGTGAACCAACATTTTAATAGTAAGTTGGTCGTTTTTCCTCCAAAAATTACTTAGAATTACATTTTGGCTGAGATTTCTCAAATGGGGGTGGGAAGTGGGATGTTGGAGGGAGAGAAAATAGATTTTTATGAATGGAAACAAAATTTGTCCCAGAAAAGGGGAAGAAAATATTCCCAAGACAAAGCCATGCCATCAAGCAGTGAACCCGCCAAACTCCAAATAGCAAGATGATCACTGGTCACTTAGCATCTGCAAAGGGCTGCCCTTAGAAAAGCTTACATTGTCAGTGACATCAAGGTCGATTTCTGCCTCGATGAGGAGTCTGACCACGGAAGGGAAGTTGTTCAGCACCGCGGTATGGATGGGAGATGCGTTTTGCTGTGAAGAAATCACGAGTGAGCCCAAGAATTCTATTTTTTCTTTCTTTTTTTTTTGGCTAGGCAATGGGTTTAAGTGACTTGCCCAGGATCACACAGCTAGAAAGTATGAAGTGTCTGAGGCTGGATTTGAACTCAGGTCCTCCTGACTCCAAGGCCAGAGCTCTATCCACTGTGCCACCTAGCTGCCCCTGGTTGGTTGTTTTTTTGAGGTACAGCATTAATTCTTGGGCCCGGTCCTACTGCCCATAAGCACAGAATCTTAAGCTTTGAACTGTTGCCCCTCCTTAGCCTGATGGCCCCCTCCTCTCAGGGGCTTAGTGTAGCACTTGGTGCACATGTAATTAATTGCATTAGCAATTAGAACCCCCTACCCCCAAGCCATCCACTGGCCTCAGCCTACCCTAGTAGGGTTTACAGATGTGTGCCCCCATGCTCAGTAATATAATACCTCTCTGCTCCCAGCTGCTCACCATGGGACTAATGGAATTAAAATCATAGATTTATAGCATCTAAAACTGGAATGAAAAAAAACCTTTAAGGCATTTAGTCCAGCCACCTTATTATATAGATGAAGGAACTATGTCTTGGAGAGGTTGTAGCCACACTCTTGAGATTAACAGTTAAGGGGAAAATGGACTAAAGCCCTTTACAATTTAACCCCTCCAGAATTAATCCCACATCCCAAAGCCTTCTGATCTCATCTCCTACTGTTCTGCCATGTGTGCATTCTACTTTAGCCAGACTAGTTCCCTTATACCCAGAATGTACCATATACTTTTCACCCTAGGCATTATTACCTGCCGACAATACCATCTGCTACCCACCCCCACCCTCCACTCTCATTCAAGATGGTCAAGACTCCACTTGAATCCTAACAGCCCCATGAAGCCTCATAACAATACAAGGTAACATATATTTTCTTTTTACGTGTATGTCCTATATAACCAACTAGACCCTTACACTTTTAGCACCATAGCAGGTACCACATTTGTTGGTTATGATGATGATAAAAGTGAGAAAGACCTAGTCATCTTCTTTGTCTACTACTACTAATTACTATTACTACTACTACTACTACTACTACTACTACTTCACCCTCTTCTGATGTCCAAAAGTCCAAAAAACTCAAGCTAGAAGGACCCCAAGGAGTTCATCTAACCTAGTCTCATTTTGTTTCCCTGCTGTGATACCTAAACTATATTCGTCGAGGTCTCTTTTGGAAAATTTCTAGAGGTGGGGACTGCACTTTCCTTTTCTGTGTTTGATCACCCAGGTAATCAAGAAGTTTTTCAGAGTCTTTAAAGTCCCTCAAAGCTCATCTTATGTTGGGTCCTTTCCTGATCCCCAAGCAGTAGTCTTTCTTTTCTCCAGTTATCTTGGATTTATGAAATCTATTTTTGCATATTCTTATATGTGTTGATTCCCCCAATAAAAGGTTAGCTCCTTGAGGAGAGGGACTGTTTCAATTCTGCCTTTGTATCCGCAGTGCCTAGCACACAGTAGGTGTTTATTAAATAAATGCTTACTCTGATTATAAATCCATTAATAAAAATATTAATAAATAAATGCTTATTCTGATCCTTTTTTTTTGGTCTAATCCCTGCTCTAACTTATTTTCCTTTAGTATAGTATTCTACAGGAAAGATTTCCCCTTTTCCTTAAAAAGCTCTTCACAAACTTCAAGTTAGTGATCCTGTCGACCACTCAATCAGAACTTCAGAGCTGAAAGGAAACTAAGAGGTCTCACTTGACCCCCTTGTTTATGGATGAGGCATTTGACAAACTCTTAAGGGACTTGCCCAAGAAAATGGGATACAGGTCATCAGGCTCCTGGTGCGGCGCCCTTTTCACTATGTTTGGTTTTCCCTTAAGTCAATTCAATTCAACAGGTGTTAACTAAGTACCTACTATGTGCAAGGTATTGAAGATTGTTATTCAGTCTGTGTCCAGCTCTGTGTGACTCCACTGGGATTTTCTTGGCAAAGATACGGGAGTGGTTGGCCATTTCCTTCTCCAGCTCGTGTTACAGATGAGGAAACTGAGGCAAACAGGGTCAAGTGACTTGCTCAGGATCACACAGCTGGTAAGTGTCTGAGGCAAGATCTGAACTCAGGACTTCCTGACTTCAGGCCAGGCACTATCTACCTCACAACCTAACTATCGTACTGAAGATACAGAGCTGAAGTCAGACGTCCTTGAGTTGACACTGTAGAAGTAGTGACTGTATTATGAGGAACAGCTCGGCATCCTGGACACAGAGCTGCGCTTGGAGTCAGGAAGTCCTGGGTGCAAGCCGGCCTCTGACACCTACTGGCTCAGTGCCCCAGATGGCCCTCAGATTACATGTTTCAGCTCTGCTTTGGCAGAAAAGCTTCTCAACGGAAGCTCCTAACACCAGAGAGATCACACACGCACACGCACACACACACGCGCACACACACACGCACACGCGCACGCATGCACGCACACGCACACACACGCACACACGCACACGCACACACACACACACGCACACACACATTTAATATTTATACATATACATTTACATACACATATATACACACGTACTTTTTATATATACATATATACACATATAAATTTATATACACACACACGCACACGCACACGCACACACATGCACGCACACACACGCGCACACACACGCACACACACACGCACGCACACACGCATGCACACGCACACACACGCACACACACACGCACACACACACACGCACACGCACACACACATTTAATATTTATACATATACATTTACATACACATATACATACACACGTACTTTTTATATATACATATATACACATATAAATTTATATACACACACGCACACGCACACACGCACACACACACACACACACACGCACACACACACACGCACACACACATTTAATATTTATACATATACATTTACATACACATATACATACACACGTACTTTTTATATATACATATATACACATATAAATTTATATATACACACACACACACACACTTTATATTTATACATATACATTTACATACACATATATATACACACGTACTTTTTATATATACATATATACACATATAAATTTATATATACACACACACACACACACACACACACACACACCTGGATTCAGATCTCAACTCTGATGCTTATTAGCAGTGTGTTCCTCCTGTTTCTTCAACTGTAAAGTGAGGATAATACCTTTAGTACCAACCACGCAGGATTACAGTGATGCTTAAATGAGACAATGTAAGTAAAGCTTCGCTAATTTAAAAATACTTTATAAATAATGATTTCCTTTTCTTATAAAATAGAGTCAGGCTAGACATGTTTTCTAAGATCCAAAAACCACATGGAAAGCAGCATATTTTACCACTCGATTTTATGCAATGTAGCAACTTAAGCCAGTTGTCCACTATTGACACACTCAACACCAATTGCATGTAAGATTTTCAAGTTTTTTTAAAAACAGCTTACATGATTTGCAGCATCTACGCTGATCCCAGCATCAATGAGAGCTTGAGCGATGTCATCAAAGCCATGAAGGGCAGCATAGTGAAGGCAGTTCATTTGCTTCTAGTGGAGATATCAGAAATACAGCATGATTCTTGGCCTCGTATTTTAAAAAAGTAACATTTGTAGCTACCGTTTATGCCTTTCCCCATCCGTCCGGCTGCTAGCCCCTTCCCTCTGAGCTTGCATCCCACCTGCGCCATTAGAATGTGTGCTTCTTCAGAGCTGGGGCTGTTTTTATTAACTTTTCTATCACTCCCCAGCCTTTAGCACAGTGCTTGGTATAGAGTAAGCACCTTAAAGATGCTCACTGGCTGACTGAAAGTGACAGGCGGGTGAACAGGAGTGAGGATTGCATCTTCTTTGATCTATGAATTTCCCCCAGCAAATACCACACATAACAAGTGCTTAATAAATGCTGAATGAATGAATTTGAACCCAGCTCCTCTTACCCAGAATTCAGGGTTAATTCTACTATACTTTTGAGTTTTCCCTTTGCATTAGATTATAGTACTGATGAGACAGACTGTGGGTTCAATTCCTGTGGAGTCAGTTAAATTTCACTCCATTCCATTTCATGGCCACAGCCTGCCTCCCAGCGTCTTCAAAGAGAGGCGTGCATGTCTGTGTGTGTACATGTACGTGGATGCTATGTGTGTTAGGAAGATGGGATATGGGGGAGTTGAACAGAATAGACAAAGTCAATCCTATGCTTTCGTCTTCTGAACCACTATACACACCAGAGGTAAATCTGGCCAGTTTACTCTAGGATCTGTTACTGCCAAAGTCATGTTCCCCCTCCCTGTCCCTGTCCAAGGGAGAATTAGCCCCTGTGGCCTCCGTCTAGAGACTTCTGGTAGGAATCCTGGCAGTATTCTGCACCACAGCCTGGGACAGGTATCCTTGGTGGCCCCAAACCCAGGCCAGAGGCCCACCCACCCCCAAACCCCAAAGCTCTAAAAACAGTTCAGGTGCCTGGGTTTGGACCTCCTGCTGCTGCTGCTTTAAACACTCAAAAGTCCCCATTTTCTTGTAACTTCTCGTGCGAATCAGATAGGGTGTTAGGAAGACACTGAAAAACCAGAATACCACCTTTGGAGTCACAGGATATCTTGGTTCCCATCTTGCTTTTGTCAATCAGTAAACGTTAAGTGCCAACTCTGTGCCAGGCATTGTGCTAAACACTGTCACTACCTGTGTGACACCGAGCAAATCACTAGCCCCTCTGGGCCTCAGTTTCCTCATCTGTAAAATGAAGTGGTTGGACCAGATGGCCTTTAAGATCCATTCCAGGTATGGCTCTGCAATCCTGTGTTACCTAATTGTTCACATCAAGCACCCGCCTCTTCATCTGGCCATTCACTTTGATGACCCTTAACTATTTGTCATCTGGCCAAGGGACAGAGAATGAAGCAGCATCAGGCAAAGTCAGCAATACGCAGTCCTCAGTGGCCAAACAGGCTGAAAACAAACAGGGCAGACTGGGTCACCTGGGTCTGGGCGTTGACCTTGCTGCCAGCCTGAATCAGGAGCTGCACACAGTCCAAGTGGCCTCCCTCAGTGGCCGTATGCAGTGCAGTCAAGCCTTCCTGAAACACAGGGTAGAGATGATGGCAGCATGTCACAGCGAATAGAAATCCAGCTTCAAAGCCAGAAAAGACCTAGCTTCAATTCCAGCCTCTGATATACCCTGGCTGTGTGACTCTAGACAAGCACTCAGCCCTTTAATGCTCTGGGAAACTCTAAGTTGCAGAGAAAGTTACGATCTTCATTGACAGAAGGAGTTTCCTATATTAGTGAAATCACAGGTTTTAGTCCTTACCTCTGATTAGAATAATTATCACTTCCCATAATTTAACAGGAAGTCTCTAATCTGCTTACCTCCTATTCACATGCTACGGTCAGTTGTACCTCCGTACTTTTGTTTGTGACCTTCCCAGCACCTGGGATGCCCTCCCTCCTACTCTTTGCTTATCCAAAACCTACTTTGCCTTTATGGGCCAGCTCAAGTCCCACTTCATCCAAAAAGCATTCCCTGACTCCTCCAGCCACAAGGCTTTCCGGGTCCTCTGACCCTTATTTTCCTATTAGAATGTAAGCTCCCTGAGGGCGGGGCCTAACTTTGTCTTTGTTTCCCCAGTATGTGACACAGGTAGGTGCTTAATTAAAGCTTGGTGACTGATTGTTCCACTGGTCTACAACCAGTCACACCTTCTGACAGCCCTTGCGTTGGCACTGCTATTTAACGTTCCATAGATACAAGCAGGATTTGCCTAACTAGACTATAAACTCCTTGAGGGTAAAGAATTGTTTTAACCTGACTTCAGTGTCTTTCCCACATCCCCCGTTAGGTGAGTGTTGCCTGTGTTACTCTGGGCTAGTCTAACCTTTCTGTGCTTCATTTTCTTCCTGTAAAATGAAGGCTTGTTGGCTGATAAGGACCCTTCCGGCTCTAACTCTATAAGCCTTATTACATATATACATATACAATCATACACATATATCTTACATACATAGCCAGCATTGCTACATAGCATAGGTGCTCAACATTTTTTTTTTTATTGCATCAATGCATGTGTAAACAATTCCAAGACTCCATCCACTTGGAGGAGGGCAAGACAGAACTAGAAAACAAATCCCATTCCCCCTAACATGGAGAATATTCCCCATATCTCAAGGGTTATCCTTAGAACAAAAGGATTAATCATACACTAATCAAATACAAATACAAGATGGCGCCAGGCCTGGAGTCAGGACAACTCATTTTCCTGAGTTCAAATCTGGCCTCAGACACTTACTAGCTGTGTGACCCTGGGCAAGTCACTTAACCCTGTTTGCCTCAGTTTCCTCATCTGTAAAATGAGCTGGAGAAGAAAATGGCAAACCACTCCTTGCCAAGGAAACCCCAAAAGGGGTCACAAAGAGTCGGACACAACTGAAAATGACTGAACAACAACAAATTAATCAAACATTTTTAGATGCTTACAATGTTCCCGGTACTCTGCTAGGCCCTACAGATACCATAATTAAGTGTTGAATAGGTAGAAAGGAAGGGAAGGTGAGGGTAAGGACCCCCACACCTCAGGAGGCAGTTAGGTTGGCTCAGTGGATAGAGTGCTGGGCCTGGAGTCAGGAAGAAAGACTGGAGTTCAAATCGGGTCTCAGCTACTTACTAACAGGGTGACCCTGGCCAAGTCATATAACCTCTGTGCGCCTCAGTTTCTTCATCTGTAAAATGGGGATAATAATAGCACCTGCCTTGCAGGTTGTTGTGAAGACCCAATGAGATTTGTAAAGTGCTTAGCACATAGTAAGTGCAGTATAAATGTCGTTGCTGTTATCATTATAATTACTGATGCAAAGCTGCCCCTGCCTTAGAAACATTAGTATTCATATAGAACACTGTTTTTTTATATATAATGTGTATATATATATATATATAAATATATATATATAACATATATATTCATATATAACAGTATTCTAAGGGATAAATAAACTTTAACAAGTCAATGAACAAGGAGAGCAGGGCTAAGACAGAGGGGAATGTTTATGAAAGCTGAGAGGGGAAACCTGGACGCTGGCTTGGGAAACCAAGGCTTCAGACTGACCGCAGGGCAAGGGGGAGTCTGCAGGGCCCATGGCAAGTGTCCTGACTTACCCCATTCTTCTCCTCTAGGTCCAGCCCAAGCTCTATGATCCTCTGGAGCACCGAAGAGTGACCATTCTTTGCTGCCAAATGAAGGGCCGTGTTCCCCTCCTGCAAAGAGATTCTAGTTCAGGTGGGGAATGAGCAGGTGAGCAGTTCTGCGTGCTAACCAAAGAATCAAAAAACTTCCATCCCGGGGACTTATTTAAAGACTGCCCAGTCCCACCCACCCATTTTATAGGGAGGTAACACTGAGCAGTAAAAAGACCCCTGGACTCAGGATCCGGGGACCTGAGCTTTGTTGCTGCTCCAGCACTTACCGTCTGCATGACCTTTATCTTCAGGGCTCTCAGTAAAACAAGAATAAAATATTTGTCCTTTTGTTGTTGATGATTTGTTTTCAGTTGTGATCTACTGTCTATGGCCCCATTTGGGGTTTTCTTGGCAAAGATACTGGAATGGTTTGCCATTTCCTTCTCTAGTTCATTTTTCAGATGAGGAAACTGAGGCAAACAGGATGAGGTGACTTGCCCAGGGTCACACAGCTGGTGTCTGAGGCCAGATTTGAACTGAGGTCTTTCCTGACTCCAAGGTGTTCTATCCACAGCGCCACCTACCGTCTCAGTATTTGTACTGCCTACCTTCCAACACAAATGAAATGACTAAAACCACCTTCTCTGTAAACCATGAAGCAATATAAACTTGAGCTATGATTTTTATAAATAAATGGGATGCAATATTGCATATCGCCTACATTTCCTAAGGTATCCCCTCATCTCTCTACCTCCTAGGGAGCCATTCCCACATAACAAAGAAGAAAGGCAAAGTTTCAGCAAAACCAGCCACCATATCAGATGTCACATGAAGTGGGCCACACCCATGACTCCCCCACCTCAGCAAGAAGCAGGCAGGGAGGTACCTTCTCCTGCCTCTTCTTTGAGACCAAGTTTGGCAGCTTGCAGCATTCAATTACAATCGATTTGTTTTTTTCTATTTGTGGCTGACCCTGTTGTGTATACTGCTTTCCTGGTTTTGCTTGCTACGCTTTGCATCCATTCATAGAAATCTTCCCCCCTTCTTTGTGTTTGTCATACTCATTACTTCTTTCAGCATAATCGTATTCTATCACATTTATGCACCACGTTCCTCAATGGATGGGCCTCTGCTTCATTTCCAATTCTTTTCTAGTTTGCAAAGTGCTGTTGCAAATATTTGGGCATATTAGGGGCCTTGTGACAGAACTAATGTCTACCAATATTTCCCCACAATATGGGTTTAGCACACTTCCCCAGAAGGGATTAGTTTTTCTTAATTGGAGACATGAGGGCAGCTAGGTGGTGCAGTGGATAGAGAGCTGAGCTTGGAATAAGACAGACTCATCTTCCTGAGTTCAAATCTGGCCTCAGACACTTACTAGTTGTGTGACCCTGGACAAGTCACTTAACCCTATTTCTTCATCTGGAAAATGAACTGGAGAAGGAAATGGCAAACCACTCCAGTATCTTTGCCCCAAAAAACAGACACACAAACAAACCCAAATGGGGTTACAAAGAGTAAATACGACAGAAAAAGAATCAACAACAATAATTGGAAACAGGACCTGACTGACTCCTATTTTCCTGCTCCATCTTCTGGTCACTTAAGGACATAAAAAGCCCTACCCACATTAAATGACCTCTCCCTCCAACACCAAGGCGGACTTCCGACAACCACACAAGTCACCACATTCTTCACCATGTTCTGCCCTGATAATCAGATCCATTTCCATGTATAGATGAGGGTGGCCATGTTCAGAGAGCCCTATCTTGTGTATCCTGGCAAAGTAAGCCTCCTTCTATTAGCTGTTCAATTACTGGTGAATGCTTCATTTTGTCCCAACATCCAGTGAACTAAGAGAGTGCTGGCATCATGGCCACTTCCAATGGGGCCTGACCTCCTGTTGTTGCAGATGAAGAAACGAAGTCCCTGAAAACCTAAATGCCTCTCCCATGACCACAGTTAGAGGCAGAGCCAAGACTAGATTCCACGTCTCATGATTCCCAGAACTAGCTCTTGATACCTCTGTGAACTCTGAGGAGGAAAGAGAGCCAGGGACTTCCCTGGGCAGAAAAACCCAGGCTCTTTCAGGGATGGAATGATTACTCTGTTTCCTGGGGTTCCGTACAAAAATCAGGCCACTCTCTTTACGGTTCCTCACACATGTCATGTTTCTTATTCTTCATCTCTCATTCCTTTCTTTAAAAATGACATTCCCCCCTGGTTGTCCACTTTCTCCGTCCCACTCACCCTTGAAGGGCTAGCTCAGATCTCAGCTCCTCCAGAAAGCCTTCCATGACTGACGTCCACAGTGATCTCTGTCTCTGTCTCTGTCTCTGTCTCTGTCTCTGTCTCTCTCTCTCTCTCTCTGTCTCTCTCTCTTCTCTCTCTCTCTCTCTCTCTCTGTCTCTCTCTGTCTCTGTCTCTCTCTCTCTTTCTCTCTCTCTCTCTGTCTCTCTCTGTCTCTCTCTCTGTCTCTCTCTGTCTCTCTCTGTCTCTGTCTCTCTCTCTCTGTCTCTCTCTGTCTCTGTCTCTCTCTGTCTCTGTCTCTCTCTGTCTCTGTCTCTCTCTGTCTCTCTCTCTGTCTCTCTCTGTCTCTCTCTCTGTCTCTCTCTGTCTTCTCTGTCTCTCTCTCTCTCTCTCTCTCTCTCTCTCTCTCTCTCTCTCTCTCTCCCTCCCTCCCTCCCTCTCCCTCCTGACTTTCAGCAAAACTCAAGAGCCTGTCACAGACTGTGGCACACCAGATTCTGTACTTATATTTAAACATTTCATGAGCCCTTACACACACACTTCACCCCTACCCTGACATCTCATCAACCTATAGAGGTGGGTTCTCACAACACATCCTACAAGCTAGAAAGTTTTTGAGTGTAGACTCGGTGAGGGATGATCCATGGAACAGCCTGGCCAAGTCTGGAGACGTTTATCCCATCCCTCCCTCTACAGAAAAAAGCTGCCCCAGGATGTAAAGGGGCAAAGACAGAAAATTACTAAGGCATTGAGAGGTTGTAATTTATGTGAGGTAATTAATTGCAGGATGAGAATTCTGGATCCCAGGCAAAGGTCTCCACGACCAGAATATATAGGCTTATTGAGGGCAGGGAACAACATGCAAACACACACAAATATACATATGAAAATACCAAAGTGAATATGAACATGCATATATTTATATGTAAACACATATGTGCAGGCTTATATATAAATACCACAGTGCATATAAACATGCATGCATGTTTACATATAATAGTATGTATATTACCATGTGCATAATGTGTTATACACATGTTTACATACGAATAGACATGGATTGGAGTGTATGTATATAAACACGCATATGTATTTATGTATAAATATTAATGTGAGTACATAATACACTTTTGTGTATTAATTGTGTGTATAGATATGTGCCCACATAAAAATATATACACGGCCTAATTTGCATTTATGTGTATAAACATACATGCAAGTGTATATATAAACATATGCATATATTATAACGTGTATAACATATTATAGATGTGTTCACGCAGTGACAGACATGGATAAAAATCTGCATGTACATACCAACACGCATGTGTGTTTACACATGAACATATGAATGCATACACACAATCACATGTATTATGGTGTATATTATTTCTACATGCAACTACACATATATGGGCCTAACTCGCAGTTGTATATACAAACATGCATATATGTTTATATATAAGCACATGTGTGTGCACAATATTATATCTGTCCAATACGTAGTATGTATTATATCCATGAATATATGTTGACACAAATATAAATGTATGGACCATAGTGTGCATTTGTGTGTAGAACACTGTGTGGTAGCGTATACATGTATATGTGCACACACACACACACACATGCACATATACACTTTTGGTCCTTGTGTATGATTTCATTATAATAGTGAACCACTTCACCTATGAAACCTGGCAACTATGCCAAAATTTATGGTGCAAGAAAATCACCTGGGGTATTAAGGGGTTATGTGACTAATCCAGAAGCACAGAGCCAGTACCTGCCAGAGGACTTGAACTTGGGTTTTCCTGACTCTCAGACCAGCTCTCTGTGAAGCCATGCTGCCTCTCATTTTTCATAACACTCAGTAACTGAAACTGAAATTTTCCATTCATTTTTTCCCCTTAGAGAAAACAACTTGATAGGTTCCAGGAGAGATATAGAGTTTAGATAAGACAAGACCCCTGCCCTCAGGGAGCTTTCAATCTATCAGGCCACAACACATTAACACACATAACCATGACACAAAACAATATGATCAGGGCAGCTGGGTGGTGCAGTGGATAGAGCATTGGCCCTGAAGTCAGGAGAACCTGAGTTCAAATCTGGCCTCAGACACTTACACTAGCTGTGTGACTCTAGGCAAGTCACTTAACCCCAAATGCCTCACAAAAAAACCCAAAACAAAACAAAAAATAATGTGATATAAAAACATCAGCAATGGGAAAAAAATTATTCATAAACTTCCTATGAAATCCTGGAATCTTGAACTTGGAAGGAACTTTAATACTAATTTATTTTTAGTTTTCAATATTCACTTCTATAAACTTTTGAGTTTTAAATTTTCTCCCCCTCCTTCCCCAAGGTGGCACTTATTCCCTCACTAGAGTTTTGCTTTTGACCCCCCCCAGTCTGCCCTCCCTTGTGTCCCCCTCCCCTTCCCTTTTCTTTCCCCTTTCCCCTCCTACTGCCCATACAGCAAGTTAAATTTCCATACTGAGTATGTTATTCCCTCCTTGGGCCAAATCGTGTGAGAGTAAAGTTCAAATAACGCTCATCTCCCTCCCTTCTTTCCCTCTGCCATAATATGTCTCTGTGCCTCTTCATGTGATGTAATTTACCCTTTTTGGAAGAAACTTTAGACGTCAATTAGCCCAACCATTGGGTCAATTAGACCTAATGCAGGCAAACCTTCTACAACAGAGGCTCTTAACCAGGGTCTGTGAACTTGTTTTTAAGAATATTTTGCTTACTGCATTTCAATGAAATTGGTTAATTTGTCATCCTATCCTGATTTCAGATTCTGGCCTCAGACACTT